AACTACCTCAAGAGTACGTAGGCCAGATAAAGCAAACAATTGGCACCCATAGAGCATTTGAGCAAGTCCCACACATGTTAATGAGAGAAGAACTGCATCATCTGCATAAAGCAGCATTGATACATAAGTGCAGCTTGGGGGATAAAATTCAGGCTTAGATAAATCTTCAACTACAGTGGTGCCTCGCATTACGTTGTTAATTCATTCCAGCAAAATCACTGTAGAATGAAAACATCGTAAAGCGATTTTAAAAAGCCCATAGAAATGCATTAAAACCCAATTAATGCGTTCCTATGGGCTTGAAACTCACCATCCAGTGAAGATCCTCCATAGCGCAGCCATTTTCGCTGCCCGTGCAGTGAGGAATCCGTCCCAGAAAACAGCGGGTGGCCATTTTTTTACCCGGTGGCCATTTTGAAACCACCGATCAGCTGTGCAAAAATCTTCATTTTGCGATAATCGCTTAGCAAAGCAGGTAACCGATCATCGCAAAGCGACAAAACCCCATAGGAAACTTCTTCGTTATGCGATTTCTTCATTAAACGAAGCACTCGTCTTGCAAGGCACCACTGTATGTTGATATAGAGGTTAAACAAGGTGGGAGCCAGTGTACAACCCTGTTTGACCCCATTGAAAACTGGGATTGGATTGGATAGAACTCCAGCTGGATTTACAGAGGACTCTCAGGTGGGTATTTTCATACAGTCGTCTCATTAGCAGAAGCATTCATCTGTCTATGTTCGTATATTCAAATTTGCCCCAAAGTTTAAAATCAATAAAGGTTGCATACAAGGCCCCTCCTTGAAGGGAGGAGTATTTATGAACTAAATGTTGTAGGAAAAAACCCTGATACAAGGTGTACTTTCCTGGCCTAAATCCTGTCTGCACATCGGTCAATATATTTTCTACTTGAAGCCAGTCCGAAAGTCTCCCCAGTATATATCTTGCATACATCTTACTGATTGTACTAAACAGGCTTATCAGACGGTAATTAGCAGGGTCTCCTCTATTGCCTCATTTAACTATTGGTACTATAATGGCTAATCCCCAGTCCTCCAGAATACACATTGTATAATTATTCCAGGAAAATAGGGAGGCCAGGACTGGGGACCACCAGTCCAGATTGGCCTTCAACAAGTCTACTGGGATATAATCAGCACCAGGGGCTTTACCTGATTTTGTTTGGCAAATTAAGGAGGAGATCTCACCTGGGGATACCAGAGGCCAATTTGGTAAATTTTCATAAGGTGTAAATGAATCTGAAGCACTCTCAGGATGCATAGCATAAATGCTCTGAAAATACTGTTCCCAGACCATGGGGAGGATGCCGCAGTCAGGTTTGGGGGAGTATTTTCGCGTGCCCCCTGCCACAATCCTCCAGAAGGAGGATGGGTCCTTAAGTTCGGATGCTAATATCAGGATTGACAATTTTAAAATAAGAGTATCAGCACCATCTCAAACAAACAAACACAACCCCAGGATAAAAATGGATCAAAAACTTTCTTCATAAATGGTTTGGGAAATAAAATATTTGATGTCAGGCAAGACTTCTCAGTAACAGACTCCTACAACTAAGGCATCAAAACAGAGAGGACCCACTTCCAAATAACCTCCTGCCTAACTTGGAGAGGGTTTCTTCCAAGATGGGAAGTTCTGTGAAGATACTCAGCTATCTGTTACAGTTAACTTCAAAAAAAATTGCTTGTTTGTTTACTGTATGATCTAGTGGCATGCCACTACCCTGGGAGGTTCCCAACACACACACAAATGTAAAGATAACAACAGAACTATCACCCCAACTACATCACAATAGTATAAAATCGTAAAAATAATACCTTGCAAGTTTCTTCCTGGCGTGAAGAACTTGGTCTGCTCAAAAGCTCTTGCTACTGCTGGTCCTTTCAGAAGACTGATAACTGAATCTACCTGTTGAATTAAAAAGTGAATAATGTATATTTGAAAGAAATGTAATCTTGTATTTGTATTTATCTCAAAATATTTTAGTATCTGTTCAACCCAGACATAAGTAGAACATAAGCAGAACAGGACAGTGGAACCAGTTACCTCAGGAGTTGGTGGGTGTGCCAACACAGGAGGCATTCAAGAAAAAATTAGATAATCACTTAGCAGATATGCTTTGTATTCCTGCATTGAGCAGGGGATTGGACTTTTCACTTTTCTATGATTTTCTATTATTCTAAGCTGGGAAACTGGTAGAATGAAATAAGAACATAAAGAACAGGAGTAGAAGCTCATCTGTATGTACTCTGTTGTGACAATTTCAATCCATTTATGCTTTTGTTTAATGTTGCTGTATATGCACTTAGCAGATATGCTTTGTATTCCTGCATTGAGCAGGGGATTGGACTTTTCACTTTTCTATGATTTTCTATTATTCTAAGCTGGGAAACTGGTAGAATGAAATAAGAACATAAAGAACAGGAGTAGAAGCTCATCTGTATGTACTCTGTTGTGACAATTTCAATCCATTTATGCTTTTGTTTAATGTTGCTGTATATGTATAGCTAATATTCCTGCATTGAGCAGGGAATTTGACTTTTCACTTTTCTATGATTTTCCATTATTCTAAGCTGGAAAACTGGTAGGATGAAATAAGAACATAAAGAAGAGGAGTAGAAACTCATCTGTATGTACTCTGTTGTGACAATTTCAGTCCATTTATGCTTGTGTTTACTGTTGCTGTATATGTATAGCTAATCCCATCAGCTGGTTTTTCTGGTCTGCAAGTCAAACCTAAATTTTGCGGCCAGAGAAGTCTGTAACTCAAAAAGTCTGTAAGTCAAGCCGTCTGTAAGTCAAGGGTCCACTGTATAGCTAATTCCATCAGCTAGTTGCAAAGTAATATGAATAGGTTACTTAAAAGTGGCAACCCAGCGGAAAGAGGCTCGGGATGTCATATCTGTAATAATTCCCAAACTTTAAACCATAGTGTGTGCAGAGCACTGATAAGGATGAGGCTGCTTCATGAGATGATAAATCATCAGCATCTTATTTGGGTTCCTCCCGCTGAAGCAACATCTATACTAGCATTTTTGGCCTCAAAGGGTTATTCTTCTGCACCTTCCCAGTCTTGCAGAAATAAAATGTTGCAAAAAGTAGCAAAGGCTTTTAAATCATCCAGATAGCTCTTATAAGACCATAGTGGCACATCAGCCTATATAAGGTTACATCTTATTTCAGATTTTTGCTTGACCAGTATCTTCCTAGGTAAAGGTAAAGGATCCCCTTGACATTTTCAGTCCAGTCGTATCTGAATCTACGTGGCAGTGCTCATCCTGTTTTTCAAGCCATAGAGCAAGCACTTGTCCAAAGACAGTTTCTGTTGTCACATGGCCAGCATGACTAGGTAACGCCGTTTTACCTTCCCATTCTGGTGGTATCTATTTAGCTACTCACATTTACATGCTTTCGAACTGCTAGGTTGGTGAGGAGCTGAGACAAAGTGATGGGAGCTCACTCTGTCGCGTGGTTTTGATCTTACGACTGTTGGTCTTCTGAGAAAATCTCAGCTAGCAGGGAATCATCCAAGTCATCCAAGGTGCTGTTTTTGGCCATCTCTGCAAAAGAGCTTTTGACTCAACTTTCTTGTTTCATTTCACCTTGTGTGCTGTGGCTTAACTTTGCCTATCTTAATCAGACCTCTCCTGCCTACACACGAAATTACTGGTTTCTCCTGGGAATGTTGAATGCCCACAGAGCAGGTCAGATTTTCTGCTACTCTTTCAGATTGAAAGTAGAGAAATAAGCCTAGATTTAACTTCTGGGGCTAAGGCTTCAGAAGAAAAAGGACAGAAATGGGCCCAGTCTCCTTCTTAAAAGAAGTCTTATCCACTGAGTGTGTTCCCCACCTGGTCAAGCAGAATTAGGTTTCAGATTCACATCAAGAAAATTGTGTAGGAGGGAAAAAACTCTTACATTCATCACTTCCCTCTTTCTTAAATATATCTGAGCAGAATACTGCAACCAGGCAAGACTGGAGAAAAGCATAGAAGAGCCCTAGCTAGCAAATTGAGTCTTTTGCCAGCACAATACAATATAAAAGCAAGGCATACATTTTTATACAATATAAAAGCAAGGCATACATTTCTATACAATATAAAAGCAAGGCATACATTGCTATACCTGTGAGATTGTAATTAGCTCTGTAGACCTGGAGCAACAGAAAACAGTACTTTTTACCTGACCAAAAAGATGCTCCAGACAGCCATGTAGTTTGTCCTGCTTGTCATGAGAGATGCGTATACTTAGAGGGAGTTCATCGCCTATTAAAACAGTGAAATTTTTGCTGACTTAGTTTTTGAAGACTATTCAAACTATAGATCGATAGATTACATTTTTTCAAATAAACTGCCAGCTGGATTCTGAGAGTTGATGGTTGCCAAACAGGTGCATTTTGCTTCTGTTTCTGCAAACCAGTACGATAGCACTGAAACAATGATCTGATCCCCCTTCTTACACCCATATTCTTTTTTCCTTTCTTGACAGGTTCAAGTTCCCAATTAATTCACTTTATCCCTAGTCCCAATTCTTGAAATGCCTGGGCACCACTGCAGGAGCTTGCTGATGATGATTGTTTTGCAGTGCAAAAGAAGACAACAACAACAACAACAAAAACCTGGAGTGGTCTTTTTTTGAAAGTGGGACAGGGAGAGAAAAATGCTTGAAAATGGCAACAATTTGCTTCTAAATGTTAAATCGCTGCACAACTGTGCCATGTTTGAGCAGTGGAAACACAAAGTACCCCACCTCGAAGGGTTTTTTAAGCTTATTAAAATAACAGTAAGGGAGTGGGAATTTGTCATTTACCAATCACAATGAAATGACAGTCACCATTTAATATTCTCTACTCAGAATGCATAAATGCAACAGTTTTAATTTCAGGGAACAGGATTGTTGTAGCAGTTTAAAACCTTGAAATGATTAGATGTTTGAGAAATCCGATCTTCTTACAATGATGATGTTAGTTCATAGGCCACTGTCATGACAACTCAGCAACTAACTCTCTTTTAAAATCTGTCATCTGCAGCACAATTTAGATCTAGAGGTGGTAGCCTTGTTAAGTTCTGTCATCTGCAGCACAATTTAGATCTAGAAGTGGTAGCCTTGTTAAGTCTGTGCTAGCATATCAGGTGAAAACAAAAGCAAAATAAAAAATAAAGAAGACAAAAACATTGTGACACCTTGAAGACTAACTGTAATATTTTACTGTGAGCTTTCGTGGACAAGTCCACTTCCTCAGACAACTGACTCTTACAATCCACCCTTATTTTCTAGTATAAATTTTGGAAAATCACTGAATAAAGTTGGCTATATTTTTAACAGATTTACTCTATTTGCATTGCAAATGGAAACTTTTGCATAACAAAAAGAGCAAAACCTCACCTTATTGGAGCTCTTAAGCAAAGAAAGAATGACATTTATTTAATCCACTTCACTAAAAAAGTGAACAAACCCTTCCAGTCAATAAATCTCATATAAATTAATCTAGAAAATTAAGGGTATTTAAAATTACCAGAATCCATTTCATCACTGTGGAAGTAAGAACTGCATTGGCTGCTGCAAATACTGGTAAAAGAAGCAATAGAGTTCCTGTTGCTGTTGCAGTCACTAAATAGAAAAAAGAGGAACACAAAAACATGGTTAAATAGTGGCTCTTTATACTTTTATCTTTTCTCACCCAGGCACATGTGTGTTAGCGTAATATACTTTTATCTTTTCTCACCCAGGCACACGTGTTAGCGTAAACACGCGGTAATTCAGCAGGTCCTGTTGGTAAAGTGAGACAATCAGCTTCTTCAGCATCAGACATATATTTACAGCAGTATTTACAGATGTACAGATCAACAGCATAACAGGATGAACTAATCAAGAAGAGAAGGAATACATCTTCTATACACAGTACACATATATTCATTTGTGCATCTAGCTCCACGTGTTAGCGTAAACACGCGGTAATTCAGCAGGTCCTGTTGGTAAAGTGAGACAATCAGCTTCTTCAGCATCAGACATATATTTACAGCAGTATTTACAGATGTACAGATCAACAGCATAACAGGATGAACTAATCAAGAAGAGAAGGAATACATCTTCTATACACAGTACACATATATTCATTTGTGCATCTAGCTCTATCCAATCGTCCACATATATACACTTGTGCATCTGGCTCTATCCAATCAACACAGATGTTGCATCATCCCTGAGCCAGCCCTCCTGAGTCACTATGACTCAGCACTTTAACACACCTGAACATTATGGCTGCTCATTAAGACATTTGTACTGCTCAGGCCTGTAAATTTTTACTTTGACAATGTGCCCATCACTTTACCAAAGTTATTTGTGTCATTAAATAACTAAATGATAAATTTTCTTTATCTTGAGGTAACAGCTCAATACTAGTATAATCTCAAAGCTGTTAGAATAATGTGCAAGACAGTCCAACAGAGTTAAGTGGACATGAGCCCACAGAAATAAATGAATCAAATGTACCTGTTTCTTGTTTAGGAATTAATCTGTCAATTTCAGTTTCTCTCAGCTACTCATTAGTCCATGTTAAATCCATTACACTCAATTTTCACACCAGTTTGTACTTTGAAAAAGGTTTGCATGAAAATTCATAGGTATTTGCATATCTACACCACCACATACATACACATTTTTGGTTTGGGAAACTGTTACCACAAAATTTTGAGAAGTACAGTGGTCATAAAACGAAAATCGCCCACAGAATCAGTGTTTTGCAGTCGCAATAGTGATCACAAAAACGTCGTTTTTTTGATCGTCGTTAAGCGAAAAATCGGTAGGGAACCGATCGTCATAAAACGAAAACCGCCCACAGAATCAGTGTTTTGCGATCACAATAGTGATCATAAAAACGTCGTCGTCAAGCGATTTTGTCATATAACGAGGTAATCGTTAAGTGGGGCACCACTGTATCAATGTTCAGATTCACGTATTAAGTCATGCAGTGAAACTTTGGTAATTTACTATCAAACCAAATGAAATACCCCCTACACACACATTCCTCTTCTAATAATTCTCTCCTTGAATATGGCCCAAAGTAAAAAACTCAGAAAGGGCAAACTATTTAAAAAATAGAAAAAAATTAATAATTTTCTACCTTACATGGTTCATTTTACTTGTCTGATGAATAATATGTCTTATTTTAAAGGTGGACACATGTTAACTGAAAGCCACATGTTTTATCAATATTAAATGAACGATACACTGACAGGGTGATTCCTTCAGTATCTTCTTATTACCAATGGAGGTAAGAGAGAATTACCTGTATGAGTCCCGGTTGCTAATAGTGTCATGGCCAGAATCTTCTTGCTCATCACCTGTTACACTGAAGCAGACCTTTTTTCCATTGCGTTCTCCCTTTTCATTATCACTGTCTGTTGGTGCTAACGATTCACAGGGTTTATGTTCTGATTTTGGAGAATATGTTATTGAAGAGAGAAGGCTGAAATGGGACAAATTCAGCTAGAATTAATTGGTTGTTTCAAAAGTGCATTATACTAATACAGTATGAAAAAATAAATACTAAAGTAGACATCACAGTCCTAAAAATGCAATAGTCTTCTATAGTACAAAAATCTAAATGTTTCTGATTATACAATATCTAACCAAGCACCATTCTGCCCCGAATATCATGAGCTTAGCCCATGGTAAAGTGATTTAATTAATCAAATTTGAATACGCCACAACACATAACGGATTTGATATGCATTAATGCATTGAATAAAATGAATTATATATATAAAACCTAGACATTTGTACAAGCAAATTAACTGAGATCAGAAAATGATGAAAAATCCAAAGAAATTCTGTAAATATGCAGGTCCTCCTGGAGTGTCCTCTTTTGACATCTTCTGTGGAGTTTCTCAATAGGCAAACATTTTTTAATTTTATTTCCAAAAACATGTCCTGAGGTTCATCCTGTTTTGCTTTAAGAATTCCGCAATCAGTTGGCGTGGGCTAATTCTACAGAATTATAAATGAGGAAGAAGCAGCCCCTAGATAAATTTCTCCTTGGTAAACTGGCCCACTGATATCAGAGATATACCTTAATTATAGAAAATCTCTCTTTGCCAGTAGCATCATGCAGCAGTAGCAATTTTTGCTAATTAAAGACTTCCTGCTTCTCTCCCATGGCTTCAATGTCTTTCACACTATGAAAAGGATTACAAGGAGTGAGAAAAATTGCAGAAGTAGGATGTTTTTAATTACTGAGATTCGCTCCCTGGCAGTGATGTTATCACACTTCAAGAAGTGGAAGTTATGCAACAGGATTTCAGCCAATATTTCTGGAGCTGGGCTGGACAGAGAGGCCCTTGACCATATAAGTATAGAATACTTATTACTATTTCAGATAAAGCAGCAATAGGAAACTCTTCCTAGTAATACAAATCAATCTATGAACCATATTAGGCATCGATACTAATGTGAGATGCATACGATCCCCCTGGCATGAAACCTTTTTCTTAATGTGTGAAGTGCCATCTTCTATTTGCCAATTTTAAAAAAAATATCTTTTTGCCAGTTCCATTCCTATAATTCAAGAACTATTAGCTAATTAACTTGTAGAACCTCTCTTCGGTGAAGCTTAGATGTGGAGTGGACCTTTTTTATCTCCATCTTGGTACAATGGGTTGAAAGATTTAAACCTCCTTGCCCAGCGCTGCTGCTTCCAGGCACTTTAGGTCACCTGATAATTAGCACCTAATGTCAAATCTGGGCCTTCTTCATGAGGCCAAGACGGGTGGAAGTCATCAGGCACTAATGTTAAATTGTATGTTGCTGAGGGAGGGAGACATAGAGGGTGAAGAACTCAGCAAAGCCCATGAATAAATGTCCAAAGTAGCTAACTCCAAAGTGCCATAAACATGATCAGGAACATGATATTTGCATATATATCGCATGATTTTTGTTGGTAGGCTATCTTTAGCCTGCCAAGCATAATAAAAACAACCTAGAAGTCATCATGATCAGAAATTAAAGTAATAAGGTAGTTTCTTTGGAACTCATATTGATTGAAAACCACCAGAGTCTGAGGCTTCCAGATGCTTTGGAACACAATACTCACTATAGGTAAAGGTGAGAAATTACAGAGGGTGCAAACCCAACATTTGGAGGCCTGCATATTACCCATGAGCTACTGTAGACTAGAAGGAAGAGAGAACAGTCACCCACAACCAACCGTCTGTCGCAGTATAGTCTCCTTTTTTGGCTGCTGTTCTTCAAAACCTCAAGAAGGTGCCTTCCTTAACCCTACTACTTAAGGCATTTTAAATTTTTGCGATAAATGTCATAGACATTATCGTTTTTAACTTGCAAACTTGTGCACACAAAGCCAGTGTTCTACCACTGAGCAACTTCATGGCCATAGATAAATATTATATAAAAATTACAAAAAGAAACCACACAGGGTAAAACGACTCAGATTTTAATAATAATAATAATAATAATTTATTGTCATTGTAAGTATATACACATACAACGAAATTCACAGACACCCAGAAACCAGACACATGCACACACATAAAATTCCCAAACACTCCCCACCCACTAAAAGTCCCCCACTAAAAATACAAACATCTACACCGCAGGCCAAGTTACACAGTCCAACTAATTATTCACTACTGGTGGTCTTTAAGCTCATTATTAATTGCAATTATAGCTCTGGGATAAAAACTATTGAGAAAACGTGTGGTCCGAGTCTTAATTGTTCTATATCTTCTGCCAGATGGTAACAGTTCAAAAAAGTTATAAGCAGGATGGGAAGAGTCTCTCAGGATGCTATGTGATTTCCTTAGACAGCGGGATGTGAAGATGTCATCCAGGGTTGGTAGCTGGAGCCCGATGATATTCTGGGCAATTTTAATGGTTCTCTGTAGAGCTTTTTTGTCCGCTACAGAGCTACTCCCAAACCATGCCAGAATGCCATAGGTTAGGACACTCTCAATGGTGCTACGATAGTATGACAGAAGCAAATGCTGAGATAAATTTAACTTGCCGAGCAAGTTTTGAGCCATGTTCTTAAACCATGAATGGGTTAAGTGCTTTTTTGCACTTTATATCTTGTAAAAACTTTGCCCAGTGATGTTAGGGTATGAGGAAATGCAGGGAATTGACAATATAGCGCTCACATACAGAGACCAACGTTCTTGCTCTTTCACAGTTAGTTAAAAATAGGCTCTGGGCATCCTATTTCCTGTAGAAAACTTCTTTATTCCAATGCAATTATATGCTGGCTGTCAATTACACAGTCTACAAGCGATAAAATCCTGACAATTGTATGTATTCTAGATATTGAAATGTATATTTATCCTTACAAGTGTGGCCTGCATATATTCAATATGTTTATTTTTCACAGAATTCCTTTTACCGAACAAGTGCTTTATGTAAGACTCTCTTGTGTATTCTCAACATTTGCAACAACGTGACTCACAGAATTTATCCATTCTTAATTATCACATATTTATTCAAGGATGAAAAATAGGGAAAAAACTGCTGATGTTACAGATTTTTGAGAATATAAGAACAACGATACTGACATGTGGTAAATGGAAAGCTCCTAAAATAGTAACTCAGAATAAAATTGCTGATGGAAAAGACTCATGATTTTGACATTCATCCAGTAATTAAGCAGGTTTATAATATGTATGCCATAAAAACAGTTTTTAATCTATTTTATGAAAACAGTATGTTATATTTTGAAATAATATTATGAAATATACTGAAAGAGATACACGTTGGCAGCTGAAATCCTATTGTGCTGCTATGCAAAATGAGTAACTTTTGGCAGCAACCTGCCTCCAGTTAAGAAATATCTGTTGACTATCTGTGGCACAGCACATATGGAACAGATATGTCTACAGAGACTGAGGCAATTTACCTCCAAAGGTTATTGATTTTTCCTAGCAGCACAACACTTATATTATCCATCCTGCTGCCTTACTTTTTTCATTTTAGTTATTATTAGTTAAATTGAATTGATATGTTTATTCTTAATTCTGATTTATATTATTATGTTTTTGTTTTAATCGTTTTGATGAAATGTGGTTAAACTGGTCTACAGAGACTGAGGCAATTTACCTCCAAAGGTTATTGATTTTTCCTAGCAGCACAACACTTATATTATCCATCCTGCTGCCTTACTTTTTTCATTTTAGTTATTATTAGTTAAATTGAATTGATATGTTTATTCTTAATTCTGATTTATATTATTATGTTTTTGTTTTAATCATTTTGATGAAATGTGGTTAAACTGTGTAAACTGCCCAGAGTGGCCTTGGCAGCCAGTTGGGTGGTATAAAAATCAAATAAATAAATAAACAGGATTTCAGCCAATATTTCCATATAGGCATTTATACTATTATTTATTTATTTAAAATATTTACATGCTGGCTTTCTTCTGAAGCATCCAAGACAGCATACAGATTAAAAGAAACAAAGTTTAAAAGCTAAATCATCATTACAATATTTAAGCATTAAACAGATGTCATATAAAAACCTATAAATAAGAGCAATATTAAAAGCTCAATTGAAACAACATAATATGACGATGCCTTTAGAAAACCCTTTAGTCAACCAGTCATTTAAAGCAGTGGTCCCCAACTGTTTTGGGACCAGTTGGGGGAGTGAGCTCTGTGGGGGGGAGTGGGCTCCCCCATGCTCACGGGGGGCATGTTGCACCCCTTGTGTGCGAGTGTGACATGCCCATTGTGCAGGCGGGGGGATGGAGATCCATCTCCACGGCCCAGTTCCGGGAAGTCCACGGACCGGCACCAAGCTGTGGACCGGGGGTTGGGGACCCCTGATTTAAAGGAAAGCCTGTCAAAAGAGAAAGGTCTTTGCTTGCAGAAGGACAGCAAAAATGAGGCCAGCCTGGCCTTCTGTGGGAGGGTGTTCTGGAATCTGGGAGCAGCAAGAGACCCTCTCCTGTGTCCCTACCAAGTGTGCTTGCGGGGGTCGTGGGACTGAGAGAATGTTCTCTCTGCCTGCACTAACATGCTCTGGTGGGGTTTCTTTGTTCTCCCCTCCTGGTGAGAGATGGGCAGGTGGGCGTGCCAATATCCACAAGGTTGGCTGGGGCAGGACCAGAGAGCTTTTGTAAAGCCAGTCCTCTTTCGTTTCTGGTAATCCACCTGCCTGCCATTGGGTCCAGTGTGGCTGTAGTGGTCATTTCAGGGCCAGATAGGAATTTTGGGACCATCCCACTTAATTGAAATGGTTGATGGGTGTTTTTTTAAAAACCTATCCTGCATTGCTTTACCCATGGAACATTGAAGGTCCAATTAGAAGTGGTGCTGTATTTAAATAGGTCACACTGCCGGATACTGCAGAATGAGAAGTGAGTATTGGTGAATTCCCAATAGGCACAAGGGTCTTATTGCACCCACCATGGCAGAAACTAGGACCCTTGGATTCATTTGCCGAGATGCGTGTGCATGGGGGGCCAGTCCTGCACAATGTCCATCTAAGTTCAGGATGACTGGACAGTGGGATGATGGAGATGGAGTGGGATGATCTGTCCAGGGGACAGTTCTGGCCAGGGACTTGGGACCCCTCTGTTTGAGGTTAGCAAAGGGGTAAGAGGCATCCCTGGCACTTTCCCCAGGGATCTGCACTATGTTCAGGCCCCTGTGCAGGATGAGGGAGGTTAAAAAAAAAGAATTAATAAAATGTGGCCCTTTATTGTGCAAGAGCAAATAATTTGAAATAAATAATTTGAAATAAATTATTAATTTGAAATAAATTAATTTGAAATAAATAAAAAGCGAATTATTGCTTTTCCACAAAGGCTCTCCTGATTATCTTAATATCTGGGTAAGCGCATAAAGGGAGATAGTCTTTCAGATAGCTTGGATCCAAGCCTTTTTCATTGCTATTCACTATAAAAACAATTATGTTACGTGCAATTAAGTTGAAATTCACTTACTGTTATCCTAACAGCAGTAAGTAAGGGCTTTTGTGATAACTGAGATATCTAAGGAGTAGTTTTACCAGTTCCACGACCCCCTCCTGAGTTTGTACGGCTGAGTGGAGATTCAAACCTGAGCCATGAGCCATCACAGCATCCACTACAGCACCCTGGGTACCTCATAAAACCAATTACCAGGCCAGAAAAAAAATGCACCTATGATAAATGAAAGATACTTTTTGTGTGTTTATTTAAAGCATGCTTTTGGTAATGCAAGTTTCCATATGATAATTTATTCTCTAAAACAGAAAATGACATCTGCATCAATTTTTGTTCCAAGGCAGTTTGCAGGTCCAGACGGTCATCCATACTTCTTCCACTCCTAAAATTATTGCTTTTCCACAATTAATGATTCCAATTAAATTATATTTAACTTTTCAGCTCAATATTACCCATTGCTCCAACAGATAATATCCTAACACTCAAACTTGTACTTTAGATGATTTTGCCAACCTTTCAGTAGTGGTACTATCATTAGCTAGACAGCCAAATTCTGATTACAACAGCTTAACTAAACCTTTCTTGATCAAGAAGCTGTTGGGTTAAAAAAATTAGTTATTCAGTTCTGCTTCTGATGTTCCGATGTTGTTTTGTATTTGATTTATACTATTTTGCCGCAATTTTACTGTATTTTGTATACTTATAAGTTGCTTCAAGAGCCCATAAAACTATGTTCATTATGCAAACATGGACATAGATACATCTGTCCCCAAAAAGTCCAGTGCATAAACTACAGTGCTAGGAATGGCTCCTCTTAAATTCAATTTATTTATTCATATCTCATTATCCCAAACCACTGAAGATATATCCCACAGACTTACTCATCTATTTGAGAAACACAGTTTTCCACCTCTTTTAATGCAGCTTGTAGTTTAGACAACAACTTCTGATACACATCTTGTGTTTCTAGATCCTCTTCTTTCAACAGGTATCTTAAACCATGGCCATCTTGTTGACCTAGGGAGTGTCCTGATGGAGCTGCCATCGTGGTAATTGTATGCTGTACATAAACCATAGGATTCAGTTTTCCTGGACGTGAAGGAAATTTAATATACATATATATATATTTATGAATAGGTTTCAGGCCTGACAATCTTCATATCTATAGCATAATTATTTTCAAAGTGAAGCAGGTACCACATTTTTCATGAATCTAATTAAATATCATCCTGATTTAAAAGAAAAAACACAGGCTAGAGTGGGGGTGGACAAATAACAAGCCTCCAGATGTTTTTGGACTTCCATCAGCCCTAGCCAATGCAGCTAACAGTGAAGAATACTGAGAGTTACAATCCAATGCATTTGTTGTTATAATGACATTTGTTGTTATTAATTTAGTTGGAACTAAATTATAATACAACTTTCAAGGTAAGTTAGGTTTTTAAGGAGTAGTTTCACCAGGTCCTAGCCCCTAGTGAGTTTCCATGGCTGAACAGGAATTTGAACCCAGACCCCCTGAGTTCTAGTTCAGCCCTCTTTCCACTATACCACACAGACTATCTAATGACATTTGGAGGACTATATTTTTGTACATCTACCAGAATAAAAAAAATCTCTATATATATTTTATACCAGATATCAGAAGCAGTGTATAAACATGGCTGCTAGCGATATGCCCAGAATTTCATTTATTTCCAATTTGTTGACATCTCATAGGCATTTTGATTGGCCACTATGCAAAGTAATGTCCTGGCCACGCTGGATCAAACTAGCAATTCACACAGAGAGAACAAGCCCTTCCTACTCAGAGGAAAAGGCTAGCAGATTAGTTCAAGACTCTCAGGGCACTTTCAAGAAGCTACAGCCAACCAATCATTCCCCCCCCACCCTCCCTGCTCTTGAACATGATAGAAGGAGAGGTAGAGCTGAACAATCTCAGCTGAAGATTTTGGACCCGTGACAGCACAGTTCCTCCCTCATCCATATTTGGATTATCAGAAAGGCCAGGGAGATCGGGAGTGTTGTTCAAGATAGGAGGTAGAACTGAAGGCTGACAAGATAAAATTTGACTAGCTAGCAGAGTCAGTTAAAGACTGTTGATCCCTGTTGAATCTTAACCTGTTCCTGACCCTTGATAACTGCAGCTATTAAAAGTCAAGCCTTTTCCTATCTCGTTATGCCTTGGTCTCTTCATCTGTATATTCCCTTTCTTTGTGGGATCCAATAAACGGAAATAATTTTCATACGGAAAGCACCAAATAAACAGATAGCAAACACCAAAACATACCTGGGTCAATATGTTTGTTTTCTTTTTCATGCAAAGGACGTTTTCTGCTGTCTAGCTGGACACCAAAAGCACTGCCAAGAGATGTTGAAGTTTTAGGATATGAGACTTCCATCACATTTATATGGCAGTTTGTTGGACAAAAATCACTGCTGTGTAATGGTGAGATCTTTGACTTGGCTTGCTTGAAGGTAGGCCAAGCTCGGTTTTTCAAAACCCGTGAAAACTATGAGAAAGTAGGAGAGAAGATTACTTCTATGATGAGTTACAAAATACTATTCACTTTTACAAAGAACCAGCAACTTTAAATGTGTAGGTAATTTGTCTGTCCTCATATGTATGGTTCCAGTGTAACATTTGCAACAATAATTTATGCATGTAAAGATCAGCTTCATCCTGTTTTTAGTGGAATGCCCCACAAGTTCTATTTCTACAAATTAACCAGAAATAAAAAAAAAAAACACCCTTTCTTCTCTGTCATGCATCTGTATACTGCTTGTGCTAAGAAAATTAACTGCTGCCTCAGATGTGTTACCAGTGTTACCATATAACTAAATATGTATAACATCTGCAGGTGGTAAAGAGAATATTTCAACTATTCTTAAATATAGCAGTCCTGGAATGCTCACATTTTGTTAGTAAAAATATCACATGATGATATTCCCAGACAACTGGGGGAAAAAACAGACTAAACAAGAAAATCTCTCAAATTAGAATATTTGAAATGATTAAGTGAGAAAATCAGATATGTAAGAAATGCACTCCTCCACCACCCTTTTACTAGCTCCTGCTGGAAAAGCATCTCACCTAGCCTTTGTGAGATATCATGGAAGCAATTTAAAGTTTCCCAGCTGCTGCTAACCTCTGAATTCCACTGAGATACTGAAAAGTAGTCCCCTATGTTTTGTGAAATCAAAGAGAAAACTGCCAGCGTTTGCTGTTTCTCATCCTTAAGTATTCCCCAGTCTGGGGAAAAGTTAAAGGACTGACTTGCTAAGACACAAGGAGGCTCTGTTCTCCCTTGTGTGCATAACTGAGCTTCATTGGTTCAACACATGTTTTAACTGGTGAAAAAGGGAAGATATATTCAGGCAACTTCAAAGCAGACTTTTAATTTATTCTAATAATTATTTGAAGGAATTAAAATGAATGAAAAACAAAGCAGAAAGCTAAAATCATATAAGAGAGGGTTTGGCAACATTAGCAAGAATCAAAGTAAGTTATGATATTCATTCATTCACTCATTCATTCATAGGACTGTTGCCTTGCCTTTCATGATGAAGTCCTGACATGGTGGCACATAATCAGCAACTCAAAAACAATACACTGTACAATGTTTAAAGTTGGATAGCAGTTAAAGCAGCGTAATGAATGACAACATGACTTCAGTCAAAACTATGAAAGAGAGTTTAATGCAAATCTCATGGGACAGGCAGACATAGATATATAGGAGGCACAGTTGAAAAGCTCTGACTTCCTGACAGTGGTTAAACCACTGTACTGCAGCCAAAACTGTGCTCACAACCTGGGGTTCAATCCCAGGTAGCCGACTCAAGGTAGACTCAGCCTTATATCCTTCCGAGGTCGGTAAAATGAGTACCCAGCTTGCCGGGGGTCGGCGGCAATGTGTAGCCTGCATAATTCACTTGTAAACCGCCCAGAGAGTGCTTGAAGCACTATGGGACGGTATATAAGCAGCACGCTTTTGCACAAATCAATCAAATATTTTATCATACAAAGTTAATTACCACTTTTAAAAAAATTTTAATGAGTGAAAGAGATGTAGATATTTAGATTGGCTACATTTTCTTACACAAATGAATGGACACAGTGTACTACAAAACTCACAAATAGCTCATATCATGTCATAGCCTGTGTCATTTCTTTAAGAATTCACTTTTACAGTACAGATACACCATGATGTTCATAATATTTCTGTTCCAGTGTGTGTTCTGTACGGTCAAATCAGAAACAACTTAAGTGACTCTAATAGAGCTTTCAAAGTAAGTGAGCTATTTAAGGATTGGTTTTACCAGTTCCACTCCCCCAGTGAGTTTCCATAGCCAAATGGGGCTTCTGAGTCTGTCACTTTATCCACTACACTAGATTAAAAGTGTATAATTTGCCAATATCCTGAAATAGCTGTCTTCTTAAGTGACTTCAAAATATGGGAAATTAACAGCAGAAGAAGGCTTGACTGCCCCAGACTTGCTATGGATTGTTTCCAATGACTGAACTCACTGTAAATAAACCAAATCAGAGCAATCCTTCCAGCACCAGACAGAAAAAAAAGAGTGAGTAGGAACTCTCTGGGGGATGGGCTATTGCAAAACAATTAGCCAGCTTTCCAGCTGATCAGTGTCACTGTACAGTAACATTCCTGACAGTTGAATATGTTTATGTTGCTATGTGTAAATATGAAAGTGGTATTTGCAGGTCCTATAGCTACAATATTCTACTTTTTCCAGGATTCTAGAATTCCAGGGCTCTGGTGCAGCAGATGATTTATGCTACATGTCTTTATTCCTCCATGCTTTGCAAGATTTTAGTTAATGCCATTGCTTTGACATCATAGTGGCAGCTTGCCAGATTCTGAATTACAAGTCTTTGTAGTAACAGTAGGCGCCACAACAATAGATTTTCCTATTGATTTTTTTTCTTTGGATCTCCAGGCCCCTGGAGAAAATATTGTTTATAGTTGGAAAGGAAGGGAAAACAAATGAGAGAAATATAAATATAGGGAGATAAGATACACACCTGACTTCAACCCATCATAACAAGACATGTTGTGCCACACACCGGATACAACAACAATCATGTAGCAGTGCAGCAAAAGACTTCATTTTAAAAAGCCAACAACACTATGAATGTGGATTTTCTTCCATGGATTGAAACTGGTTTGGCTGAGTGAGCATTGAGAATATTTTTCATGTGTATCTCAATATGCTAAAAGACTACATAATATAAACTTTTTAAATTTCAACACCTTTGATATTTTTAGCGATGTATTCTATGCTTTTTAAATGTGCCTTTTAAAGCCATGAGCTCTTGAATTTTTAGAATGTGAATGTAACATTCTCATTTTTCAATTTTATTCTTAAAATATATTTCTACTGCATTTTGGACTGAATTCTGACTTAAGTGTCTGCCTACAACTTAAGTTTAGTTTTCATATATTTTAAAACATTTGTGCATAGTTTCCCATAGGTGTACTGCTTCTGCATTTTTACGATTGCTCTGAAGCATTTCTGTGTATATAGAACATGACAGCAATGTAAATAAAAAAATCCTGTAGAATTAGAGAAGCGGATGTTGCCTAGAATCACTGCAATAATTAAAAGATTTATACCTTGATACCCAGATTAATTTTGTTATGGTTGGGAAAGGTTGTCTAGTTTCATTCTGGAATTAATCCTTTTTTGGGGATGCCAGATGTTACAAACACAGGCTTCTGATTTTTTGTTGAAAGTCTATAAAGTTCTGTAGGGCTCTTAGGGAGATATTCAGGCATCAGTATCCCTGATCTGACAGTTCGGTCCAGTAATTGCCTCATATGATTGCTGGAAAAAGGAACAAACCAACCTGCCCCTTCAGTGGACCAAAAAGCAAAACAAATGCCCTTCTGATCATACCCTTACTATACAAAGCAACAGGATTTCAGCCAATACACTGCTCCTAAGTGAGTGAAATGAGTACAAAGTTAGCACTAAGGATCTTTAAGTTGCAAGAACAGCAGTATATACTATATTGACCACATACTGTCTCCCATAGAAACCAAATGTGAAGTTATAATTTAATCAGGTCAGAAATACAAATCAAAGTTTTCCTAAGTATTTATAGGAAAAATCCGGTTTTATTATGCTGCATACATTTAGAAATAATGGGAAATTAAGAAGAGCTGTAGGACACTGCTAGGTTTCTATTCATAGATTTCAAACTTTTACAGTGAAGCTAATAGCACAGCTAAAGGTTTTTCAGACACTTTGGTTACTATGGTTACATTTACCTCCCTAAATGAAGGTATAGCTATTCTTGGAATGAAACATGTTACTGATAACTGTGAAGAACAGCAAACATTTTTAAAACAACAAATTTGCATTCTGTTTCTGAATTTTAGAAAACTCCTGATTGAGTAGTTAATCAGTCACAATAAACCTTTATATAATTGTACCACCTTACCTCCTGACTTAATTTGGACATCATATTAAAGTCTACTACAGTAGACAGGAAAAATGCAAGTTTAAAAATTAAAACTCTCATCTGAGAGTTACAATACAGCGAAGTTCCTCTAACACAATAGGTAGATGCATAGGTAGCCAGAGGTGCCCCGCTTGACAACAATAATCCATTCCAGAAAAATTGCTGTTAAGCGAAATTGTCGTCAAGTGAAAAAAAAACCCATTGGAATGCATTGAAAACCGGTCAATGCATTCCAATGGGGAAATACCTCATCATCCAGCGAAGATTGCCCATAGAGAACCGCCGATCGGCTGTTAAAAACCACTGTCTTCCAAAGCAAAGGTCCGGAAAGCAGCCATTTTGCAAAGGTAGGGAAGCCATTTTGCGAAGGGAAGCTATTTTACAGAACTGGAAAAATAGTTGTATAGCGAACAAACGGTTCGCAAAGCAGGCTCTTAATCAACATAATGTGGATTTCCCCCATTGGAACCATCGTTTTGCGATCACAATAGCGATCACAAAAAAAAGTCATCATTAAGCGATTTTGACGTCATGCGGGGTAAGCGTCTAGCAGGGCACCACTGTATTTTAATGGATTTCATACTCCAATGGATTGTGTACATGTGATATTATTATTGCTACCTTATTATTGCTACCTTTCATTGTAATTTTTGTATAGTTACATTTGGATATATCTGCTGGTCAGTGACCATAATAAGGCTCATTCATTCATACTCCAATATTTATTTAAACCAAAAACAAAACCTATCTTTTTTTTCTACAGTCAAGTGGAGGAATACTGCAATATCTTTCCTGCCAAAACTGAACATGATTGTCAAGTACTAGTTCAGAAATATTCTGTTATTCCATATAACAAAATACCAAACATTAAATAAAAAAATTAGAACTCCAATGAATGCATTGTTATTATGAAATACAGCTCAGATAACAGATTTGAAGGGATTAGCAACTGAAAATTGGCAGGCCATTCTATGGGTTTTAAAATAATATTTTGATAGATATATAGTTGCCAATTGGTACAACTGTTGCCTTACCATTGCCAGCATCTCAAACGCATCAAATGCATAGAGGAAGAAGAGGGGAGGAGAAAGTTAGCTCCTTAATTCAATTGATGACAGAAAAAACTGCACATGTCTATCTGGATCCTGACCCATATAGACCTCTTAATTAGAAAAACAGAAAGTGAAGGCAGAGAAAAACTGGAGAGCGGATATGCATTTATTTCAGGCATGCATACTTACATATAAATATTTTTATTATTTCTTCCAGTCATACATTTCCGAAACATTTCTTACCTTTTTGTAACTGGTGATTCTTCTGCAGATGTGTTCTATTTTGTCATTGCAAATAGTACTGAATTTAATTTGAAGGTCAGGAGAGATTAGTTCATTTAAGCTATTTAGGGTATTACAATTTTGCACAAATTGCTCATCACTTTTTGCTAGTGCTTCAAGAATCTGTAAATTAAAACATAAGTAACAGACTGTGTTAGTTTTAAGAAAACCCTCAGGCTTGGGAAAAAATAGGGCAGGATCCCTGCACCATTCCTTAATTAGGCAGAAAGCAAAATTTCAGCAGGGTATGCCTATCAAAATGTCCTCTTGAAGGTAAGTAGTGAATATGTAGGGATGCTCTTGTTTTTTACAATTAGGCAACCTAGATCATGAAGTAGAATCTGTAAAATCTCTTGGTTATAATTAGAGATGGGCACAAACTGCTGGTTCAACAGTTCTACACGGTTCATTTCCTGGCTGAACAGCTGATCCATGGTTCAACGTCTCCTCAAGCAGGCGCCCATTCAGTAGCAATGTTAGGAGAAGAGTGGATGGGGCACTGCTTCTGAATAGGCAACCACTGGACATGGTGGGGCGCCAAATTGCAGATCACCTGTTTGGCTGGAAAACAAACCATGCCAAACCTCCAAAACTAGCATTTTGTGCTCATCTCTAGTTAAATTTAAGCCCTACTTTTTTTTCACAATCACTTTGCTGCATTTTCTGAAAAAACACTGCATGAGATCCTTGTATACAAACCCAAGTCCCACAACTACAAAATACATAAAAACAAAGTATCAAAGGGCCTAATCTAAAAAAGGAAATAATTGGTTTGAACATTTGTCCTGTTTTATTATTACTGTTATTTAAAATATGGGAGAAGTCAAAGTATACAGGACACTTACTCTTTTTTTGCTTATATTACATTATGACCAGTATAGAATCAAAGGAGTCTTTTACGTAGTACATGTAGTGATAGCCGAGAGTATTTTAACTTTTATTTTCTTAATCAGCATATTAATTAAAGGTTTCAAATTACTTATAGAAGTTTAGCTTTCTGCAGGTTTAATTAATAATGCAAGACATTTCAGAAAAATCTACCCCCTGGCTATAGCTACAAAGAACATGGCTTAAACTGATACCATGTCATCTGCTCTCAAAAAAAGAAATAACATTATTATATTTTAAGCAACATAAAAATCTTTCACTGCTAAGTGATTTAAACTTTTTAAAATTCTACTCTTTAGTCATTAGCCTACACAGTTCTAATGAAAAGAAATTCTCAAAGTTATTACATCTAACACTCAAATCTAACAGGCTTGTTGGTTTATTGTTGTTGTTGTTGTTGTTGTTGTTGTTACTGTTACTATTACTATTACTATTACGATTACTCTTACTATTACTATTACTATTACTATTACTATTACTATTACTATTATTTCACTACAAGATGATTTAGAGTACAATCCCAACTCAAAGATGCACTAGCTGTAGTGTATTTCAAAGGGCAGAAATTTTTCACAGCAACACTACTGTTCTTGTACTGGCTGACCTCAGGTATGTATTAGTGCAGATCGGCCAGCAGAAGAGGACTATGTGAGGAAGGAGTTGAGTTACACCAAGTTTATACCTCCTTCAGCCCAGAGACCCAGTGATTACTCCAAAGTGAGGATGCTCTTATATGTTGACTAGTAGTGTCAGACTCATAGTGACTTACTGACTTCCAAAAGATCCTATCATGCTAGTTTGCTCCAGTCTTGCAAACTAAAGGCCATAGTTTCCTTTATCAAATCAATCTATCACATATGTACTCTTCTCTTCCTGATGCCTTCAACCATTCAACTGTAACTGTCTTTTCTTTCTATGACCACAGTACGATTGCCTCAATTTAGTCATGTTCACTTCTAGAGAAAATCCAGGCTTGATTTCATCTACCAGTCATGTATCTGTTTTTCTGGCAGTCACTATGTTGAAAAAAAATGGGGAGGTTGATTTTAAAAAGAGGATAAAAGTGCAAAAGACTATCTAAATAATTTCAGTGTGAGCATTTGTGGATCAAAATCCAGTTCCTCAAACACGTGGAGTGCACATACTATGCCATCTGTGTTTATACATACCCTCAAGGTAGTGGGACATGAGTGGGTGAAGATACAGACAATGGACAATATGACAGTGCATTGTTAACACAGGAATGAGATTATAAAGATGACAATTATTTAAAATAGTAGATCACAGACAGATTAAATAACTGTCTGACAGATAGGTTTTGGCACCATAGAAATACAAAGAGTTACTTCTAGGACAGAGTATTTCATACATACACTACAAAAATATAATACATATTGTGCATTAAGAAGCCTTGATTCTTTGTTTAAGCAGATCTTGGTTTGTTTGTTTGCTTGTTATTCAATTTCTACCCTGCCCCTCTAGACAGAGTCTACTTGGGGCGGGCTTACAAGCAGTTATAAAACATCATAAAAATAGTCATCATAAAACAAGCACATAATTAAATCAACAAATTTAAAAGTTCAAGATGGGGAAAAGGAAAACTAAAGAAAAAAAATCAAGTGTTGGCTGGAGGGAAGGCCTGCCTAAAGAGCCAAGTCTTTAACTGACTCTTAAAAACACCCAGCGAGGGTGCCAGGGTGATTTCCGATGGCAAGGTGTTCCATAGTCGATGTTCCATAAGTGGATAGTATGGCAGTTCCATATATCCATAGTTCCCCTCCAACTCCATAACTGAAATGAATCCATTTTTACTTCAGTTTTCTTCACTGTCCCACTTTCACATTTATGCACAATATTTAGGAGCACCACAGTATGGATAATCCTAGTTTTGACCTCCAGATACATTCTTATTAAGAATCTTTCCTCATTATTCAGGAATCTTCTACAGTGGACCCTCTACTTACGGAATTAATCCGTATTGGAACGGTGGCTACAGGTCGAAAAATCTGTAGGTCGAGTCTCCATTGACCTACAATGCATTGAAAACCGATTAATCCGTAACCGGCCATTTTTGTTCCGTTTTTGTTCCATTTTGGTTTTTTTCTGGTCTGTAAGTCGATTCTCTGGCTGCAAGTGGAACCTAAATTTTGCAGCCAGAGGAGTCTGTAACTCGAAAAGTCTGTAACTCGACCGTCTGTAAGTGGAGAGTCCACTGTACTTCCATGGCTGCAACCCCCAATTTGCACTGATGATTTAATCAAGATACAAAAAATATTTAACAACTTTAATGTTTTTCAAACTTTTCATTAAAATTTTATCATTTTTCTGTAGTAATTTTTGTCTTTTTAACGTTCAACTGCAATCCTGCTTTTGTACCTTCCTCTTTAACTCTTCTCAGCAGTCAATTCAAGTCACTACTGTTCTCTACCAGTAACATCTGCATATCTTAAATTATTGATTCTCCTGCTGCCAATTTTCACTCCTCCTTCATCTCAGTCTAATGTGGCTTTTCATATCATATATTCTATATAGAGAGTAGATTATGAGATAAATTAAACCTGACATGTTTACCATTAGGAAACCAGTACATTTCCCCACACTCTATCCTCACACTAGCCCCCTGTCCACAATAAAAGTTATGCATCGGGACAATCAAATACTGTGGAATTCTCTTTTCTTTTAGAACAATCCACAGCTTTTAATGGTCTGTATAGTTAAAGCTTTGCTGTAATTTATAAAGCACCAGCTGGTTCTCATCTGAAATCCTTGGTAAACTCCAGCAGCAAACAGTCTCTAGTGTCTCTTCACCTTCTTAATCTAGCTTGGCCATCTATCATGCCTTTCCCCACATGTAGTAAAAGCTTGTGTTGCAAAACCATGACCATTACTTAGCTTGTGTGAGAAATTAATGCAATGATTCTATAGTAACTACACTTTGATGTCTCCTTTCTTTGGGATTGGAAAGTATACAGTATATTTCATTACCAGGGTAGCATAGCCAGATGTAAAAGAGGACAAGACTGTTGCTCATTAGTTACATAGCAAGCAAAATTTCAGCAGGCTATGCCCTTTAAAAGTTGGCTGGACAGCTTAGTGGTTTAGGTACCTGGCTGCAAAGCCAAAGGTTGAGAGTTCAATTCCCCACTGTGCCTCCTGAGAGAAGAGTGAGTCTGTGTAACTCTGGACAAATTGCACAAATCCCATGGTGCCCCAGGAATGGTAAATCACTTCCGTCTACCTAAAAAACCCTGAAAAGGATCACCATAACATTTATTATGATTATTATGATTCCTGTTAAATTTATTTATTTATTTATTTATTGGACTTATATACCGCCCCATAGCGCTACAAGCCCTCTCCGGGCGGTTTACAATTGTAATTATACAGGCTACACATTGCATTCCCATTCCCCACTGTGCCTCCTGAGAGAAGAGTGAGTCTGTGTAACCCTGGACAAATTGCACAAATCCCATGGTGCCCCAGAAGTAAGGAATGGTAAATCACTTCCGTCTACCTAGAAAACCCTGAAAAGGATCACCATAACATTTATTATGATTATTATGATTCCTGTTAAAATGTCCTGAACCCCAGGTCGTGAGCACAGTTTTAGCTGCAGTACAGCGTTTTAACCACTGCGCCACGAGGCTCCTAATGTTCTCCTAAAATGTTCTCTTCTATACATACTCTTCCAGTTTCAATTTCTTGATTGTCAGTATTAAAGAATTGTAGTTCTTCTGTAGTCATGATTTCTGTTTTCCTAAAAGTGTTGTTTGAAAATTCCCATGTTACTTAGTGCTCATTCCCAAAGTCTCATTTAACACTATCATCTAGAATCATCTCAGGGCAACCGCCATCTGGAGAAACTAAATTAAAGTATCTGTACTGTACTGTTTCAATTTATCTTAAACCTGAGCAAGCTTCCATCTCTTTTATGCAGAAAGATTTTTCAGTTTCTGGTAGCCACTATTGAGTCATAATGCTGAGAGGAATGTGTTATTTTAACTAGTTCCTTAAGAATACTTTGGCTAGCAGTTTAAGCAATCCAGTACATCTTTGCTTAACCTATGCTGTCAAAAACAAAATACAAACTACTTACATTATAGTTAAGAGTTAATATTCTGATAGGGCTGGTTAGGTTATGAACTGTTATAATTCAGAAGCAGAAACACATTTTTAGAGAAAAGATAATTTTGTTCTCCTCTTTCCCCAGTTTTTTCCAGTGGAGAAATATAATCCACATACATCGGTGTAGGAATATAGACTGAATATGAGAGCACAAGGCATCGTCTTAGCAGCAAGGATAGGACCAGTTCCTGTAGCTGAAGAACCCCAATCTCACTGGAATCATATGAAACACTGTTATCTTTAAGTCTTGATCAATTCAAAAGGAAAAGTGCTCTCATTTTTATCATACCAGTCTCAGATATCAAGATTCTGCCTCCTCACATTACATATTATTCTTTTTTGTTTCTATCACTCAGAACTTTCTTTAGGTCCTCTCTTCTTCACCTTGCCTTAAGTCTCCGGCAAATATACAGAATTCATCCTGCTCCTCTTTTATCCTAACCTGATGTCATACTACTCTTTCATCATTAATAATTATCCCTCCTTATCTTAGCTGTTATATATCCATCACTGACCTTCTCGCTGCTGTAATTTAAACCTTATAATTTCAGAAGCCTTGGTCTGCAGAGCAACTAACACAGAATATTCAGGAAATATTTAACACATAAATGTTAAAAATATTTAAATGTTAAATGAATATTTAACACATAAATGAAACAACTGAAATTCACACAAAAGACCAACTAACAACACCCATCAATCACAGTAACAGATCATCTCTCCCTCTTATCACAACAATACACCCACAACAACAAAAACGCTGATCACCATAATCACCCAATCTCCTGAAAAGGACAAAAACTGATCCCACAGCTATAAATACTCAACTATATCACAAACTGCATCAGAGCACAGACAGAGTTCTGACTCCTGTCCGCTGAAGATGCTGGCCACAGAGAGTGGAGAAACGTTAGGAAGAAAAGCCTTCAGGACATGGCCAAACAGCCCGAAAAACTTACAACAACCATCGGATCCCAGCCGTTAAAGTATAGGAAAATAAAGTGATATTCTACCTAATTTTGTGAACAAATCCATTCTGAATCTCTTTTAACCAAAATATTGTAATTTCCCAGAGTTTTTCAAAATAACAATCAGTAATAATTCATTTATCAAAAATATATTTGAGAAGAGTTGAGGAGAGAGAGAGCAAAAAACAGAGGAATGGTAGATGGTTAGCCTCTTTAGCACTGTCTTGAATTTAGTACCTTAATTTATTACTTCATGGCAACTTAATTTTCTTTCTGGGTAGATGACCATGATACATAACTATAACTATTAACAATAATCAACAGCAAATAGGTCAGCAATGAAGAACAGAGTTGAAATGAAATAACTAAAATTCTATCTATAAATAAGATGTACTGCTTTCATGATAGAAGAAAGAATTAAGAATTAAAGGAATAAATGTTTATGCCTCATACCTTTGCAGCCAAGCTGAAGAAGCCATTTGGTTCAATCATCTTCTCCAAAACATGACATTTTATTCCAGCAGTACTGTCATATTCATAAACAACACCATATTCCAGATGAACATTATCAACAGTCAGACTGACATGGTCCTTCCATCCATCAATTATTGCCATAGTATTAAATTTGTCAATTACTTCTAAAAATAAAATTTAGAAGTCAGCTTGTTTTGTTTTCTACTTATTTTTGGTAAATTAGCTAATGCAACTATATTAACTAATTATCATTATTCAGTTTTAAAAAATCTTACCTAATTGAATGAAAAACTGAACTGCATGATTAAATTAGAGGCAACAGGTTATACTACATTTAATATATATTTAAAACAATTTATTTTTATAGAATTATTAAAGACAGACGAATCAGAAAAGCAATCATCCAAATGAAAAACTTAAATATGGGTACGTTTAGCACAGTCCAACATAAAAATAAACACTTACAATTCTTTATATCAATAAACAGTACAACTTACTGAAATGTTTGTTTCCGTATTTCACATATAGGAAAGTTTACCTTTTTTGATAGAACAATCATAAAACTACATGGTATTCTGAGTCAGAAACATACTGATCAAGAAGAAGGTTAGCAGGTAGAACACCTAAAGACTTCAGAAAATTGGTAAATACATAAGCCACTCTCCTATTATTATCTGCTAGCAGGAGCATAAAGGACAGGTTTTTCACCCATAACTTTCATTCTTTGAGTGGTCATCTAGATATTCACACAATTCGGTTCCGCATTTGCACAAATGCTTCTCACAGAACCTTCCTGCTTTCCTCAGTCCCACCTTGCCTGCCACAAAAAGGTAATTGGCAAGACAAAAGTGAGGAGGTGTGCGAATTGTGTGAATACATAGACGACCACTTAAAGAACCAGAGTTACAGATAAATAATCTGTCAAAGAACCACAGTTACAGATAAATAATCTGTCCTTCTTCATCATGGTCTCTATGATTCACTCAATTGGGTGATTGGTAAGCTCATTTCTTGGAGGTGGGATATCATGCTAGAATAGAAGACAGTATTGTTCTACCAAAACAAGCTCTCAAATCAAGTTATAATGATTTACAAATGTGAGTGGGTATACTCTGGTTTCTCTTCAGATTGTATAATTCTTTCACCTTTTACTAAAGGTTTCTGTGGAGAGGAACATTTAGGAGTTGGTTTAATGATTTTAAAGATGTGTGGGATTTATATTTGGAGTATGTCTTTTTTTGAAAGGGACAGGTTATACGCCAACAGAAGAATCAATGTATTTTTGGAAATTCATGGGGTGAGAAGGGATATAAATTGATATTACTGGTCACCTAGTCCCAAGGGTGAAGGTGACATGGGTGGGGAGAGTCCAATGTGTGTTGTACGCAATTATTATTTTATTTGTATTTTAGTTTTAATATTAAAAAACCAAATGTAAGTGGATGAGACCATGTCGCTGGGTGAAGGTGACATGGGTGGGGAGAGTCCTCCCTGCTTTACAGTTGTTTTGAATAGCAATCCTTTGCATGTATGCTGTTGAAGAAGCGATCAACCTAGTTGAATGAGTTTTAATATGTGATGGTAAATTAACCTTTGCAATATTATAGGCTAGTTTTATTGTAGCAACTAACAGTTTTGTGAATTGCTGTAAAGATACTGAACATCCTTTCCTAAGTCTTGATAACAAAGAATCTACAGTGGTGCCTCGCTTAGCGGTGTTAATCCGTGCAGCAAAAATCGCTGCTAAGCGAGAACATATAACATCGCTAAGCGATTTTTAAAAGCCCATAGAAACGCATTAAAACACGTTTAATGCGTTCCTATGGGCTAAAAACTAACCTTAAAGCGAAGATCCTCCATTGCAGCAGCCATTTTCAGTGCCTCTAAAGCGAGGCAACACAGCAGGCGGCCATTTTGGAACTGCCGATCAGCTGGCCGAAAATGGGGGCTTTGCGATGATCACTTCCCCGCAATCATCGCAAAGCGAATTTTCCCCATAGGAAACATCGCAAAGCGATTGCTTTTGCGATCACAAAAACAGCATCGCTAAGTAATTTCTTTATTAAACGGAGCAATCGCTAAGCGAGGCACCACTGTAGATATTTTTCTAAAGTTCTTAGTACTTGAAAAGTAGAAGGCTAGAACTTCCTTCATATCTAAGGTATGTAATGTTCTCTCTAAATCAGTGTGGTAATGGATAAAAAGTTGATAATACCAGTAGCTGTGACATGAAATGATGACACTACTTTTGGCAGAAAGAATATGTTAGTATAGCATTACTTTATCTTTACTAAATTGAATATACGTATATAGTGGCTCACATCTCAATGCTAAAATTTCAGTTGCTTTCCCTGCTGAATTAATAGCAGTTTTAAAAGTCACCAATCTGACATCAATTGTTGCCATTTATGAGCATTTCCACTTACAAATATCTTCTGCGATGGATTAAGTTCGTAAATCAAGGCACCACTGTATCATATTTACAAATGCTCTCATTGCAAAAAAGGGAATTTTTGTCAGTTGGGTCAAAAACAAAGAGATATACCGAGAGATGCGGCGCTTGTCATGGTGCTGCCAGCGGCTCCCAGAGAAGCTCCTGGAGAAAGCTGGATTAGCCACTGTGCTTATCATCCCGCCTCCTGCCAGGACTGGGTAATTGATTGTGGACAATGAGATGATAGGAAGGCACCGTCGAGCTCGCATCAGCGGTGAAACTGTGAGTGGACAGTCCGGCCCCATGGGGCCAGACCCTTGTTATTTCCACCTATGTTGATATTTGTATTCATATATGAATACCCCCCTCTAGTTGTGACACATTGGCATTTTCACCCTTTCTTTTGACATCAGCATCAGAATTGTGAACCATGACTGGCTAAATCACTACAGGGTTATTAGAATTACTTATGATTTGTTCTGTTTTATTTGATTATTGTACACAGAATCAATGTTAATGGGATAAATCTGTACATTATGCAACTGTTTCAAGATATTGTGCATGCATCTCCCAGAGAATGTTTCCCTTTGTTCACTCCCAAACAGTACATCCTGCATTTCCTTTTCTTGTAAGAAGTGAACACGACTATGGCTTTCTCCATCTGTTTATTAGTTTTATATATATATGCTGAGACAGTTCCCACTCATGTGTCTATATTAGTATTCAGCTCCAACAATCTCTTTTGTGACAGTCTTGCCCATGACATAAATCACTGATGGAAAAATATGCTTTACATTAAAATGCACCATTTCAACAGAAGGACTAACAGGTAAAGAACGCTCATTGATTTTGTTCTCCCTTGTTTGTTTACATATAAATTGCTGTTGTATTGTCCATTGCTCCTTGGACAACTTTCCAAGTATAGTGGTGCCTCGACTTACGAACGCCCCTACTTATGAACATTTCAACTTACTTTCCGGCCGCAAAATTTTGCTTCAACTTACGGACGGAGCTTCGATGTACGAACAAAAATAGGCAGGGTAAAGGGGTGGGAAATTCAAATGGTGGCCCAGAGCCGGGAGGCTGAGCCTGGCCGGGTGCTCTGGCTGCTCACCTCCCACCAGCGGCAGGGGTGGCCCAGAGCCGGGAGGCAGGCTCCTAGCAGCCTCCAACAAGGCCAGGGTCAGCGCTCCTCGCTGTCCTCAGCGGGCCAATGCCACTGCTGGTGCCTCCAGCTCTGGAACTGGCACCAGCAGCTGCTTGTCGGGGCAGCCGAGTTGGTCCTCGGAGCTCCTCACCGCCCTCCACCAATTGAATTTTCCACCATAGGAAATAGGAAGAGGGGGGAAAGGGATCAAAGTGATCCGGACCCAGGACATCCCTTTCACTCTCTTCCTATGCTGCTGGGGAGAGAAAGAGGGGGAAAGCCCAACTGAAGCCATCACCCAGCCCCACTGCCGTTGCAAAGGCAGTGCAGCTGAGGGGTCACTTTGATCCCTTTCCCCCTCAGTCCTTGGCGCTCCACGCCACCCTCCACCATTTGAATTTCCTGCCATCGGCCCACGGAGGGCAGCGAGGAGCACAGAGGTGGAAAGGGATAAAAGGGACCATTGGCGGCAGAGGCGGTGGAAGGATTTTGAAGGGTGGGTTTGGGCTGGGGGGTTATGTTTCTTTGTGTGGTTGGGTTTATTATTTTATTTTATTTTATTTTTGTAGACTCAGCATGAGACTTGCTCTGTTTATTTTTATTTTATTTAAAATTTTTGGTATTTTTTTAAATGCTCAAACAGATTAATCCCATTCCCGTGCATTTCAAGGGGAAATGGTGCTTTGACTTATGAGCATTTCCACTTATGGATCATCTGACAAGCTATTAGTTAAGATTTGTCCATGTTTACTCTCAAACTAAGATCGGACAGAGTTTGAAGGATGTAATTTACATTCTCTCCAAGAGTGTCCCGATTATTTGCCACTAGTAACCATTTGTTTATATATGGGATAATGGTTATGCCTTTTGTTCTTAGGAAAACTGGTTGTGGTGCCATACATTCTGTGAACACTCTTGGAGCTGTTGATACCTTATTGCATTGAATGTATTCTGATATGTTGCTTATGTTTTTTGGTAGTATAACATTGAGCCTTTTAATATTGTATACTCGCTGTTATTAGTTAAAATACTGCCTTTTAATTGTTGTAAACTACCTTGGGTCCTTTTTAAGGAGAAAGGAGAGTTTTAAGAAGTTTAAATAAATTATAAATAAATTAATTAATTTTTGATATTGCACTGGTGGCAAAGAACCCAAGCATGCAACTGACTGACTTCAAGTATACTATTGGATATGTCTGTTGTTGCAACATGACACACACCAGGTGCCACATGAGATGTCTTTTGTACATTATATGAGTTAATTGCTTTTCCTGCTTTTGTAGTACATCACAGAGCTTTGTGTGTTCAGTCCAGAAGTCAAAACTCTCTTTTAGTTTATTCACTAAAATTGGGGGGGGGGGATGATCCCACCTTCAACTTTGCAGTTAAATGCATCTCCTCCATCATCCCCTAATGGTTTGGAGTTGGATTTCTGAAGATCTTCTTGGGCACTCTCAATGCTGTTATATACCCATTGAATAGAATCTTGCTAGAAGACAGTAAGAAGAATCACAAATAGTTGACATTACTCATTTTTTTAAAAAAAAAATTGTAATGCATATCAGCTTTGCAAGAGAAAACAGTTGATGAGTAATGGGGACATTCATAATCTGAATGTTCCCACACACCTGGCAGCATCACAAACCTTTATGTGTTCAGTGCAGATGTCTAAAAAAGGCCCTGTAATCACATTTTGCTGAATGCACTGGGCTCCCATAATCAGTAAACCAGCCTTAGCAAGTCTACTAATAATAAGAGCTCCGCAATCATGTTCTCCTGCCAAACATGTTTAGAAAACCCTGCTTTGCACTCAACACATAAAAATCTATGATGCTGAACACATAAAAATCTATGATGAGCAGGAGGTAATTTAGGAATGAGGCTTATGTACACACCCACATTCCCACCACACACTCAGCCTTCATGGCATTTAGCCAAATTGCCATGATAGAGCCTTTATCATGATATTGTATGGCAGTTTCATTGACAATTCTGCAGTGATGTGTTGGCAAAAGAGGAAATGCATACTGAAAATGATAAAGTAACCAGAGGAATTGTGTTTTACACCACTGTGCTTATAGACAGGCAAAGAACCACTGGAGCACTGTATAGAAAATCACAGAGTAACAGCACTGTTCCCTCATTTCTCTATTTCTGACACCTCATAGATCATTTTGTCCTGAGGAAAATGCATCATCATGTGCAAGTCATGACATTATGCAGCCAAATTTGATTTACTATGTGTGATGTCTTGATGTTATCTGTTCATTATGTGATCCCTCATTGGCCACAGTCAAAGAGTGAGAAGGAAGGGTATCTATAAAAACAAAGGGTGTTGAAAGAACAGCTGGTCAAACTGCAAAAACATTTGAAAGAAGGAAAAGGCGAAGAGGAAAGAACTTACAGACCAAAAATAATTCACTGAGGACTGAGTAGCCATTGAACTTGCATAGAGGAAGTTAAGAGAAAAGGGGATCAGGAATGAAATGCTGTGACATAGTGTTGTGAAAAAGAGTCCATCATAGTGCACCATTTCATTGCAGGATGCACTTGTTAAATATTATGGCTTATAACTGAAAGCCAGTGCCTTAGTTCAAGCAACAAAGTTCTTATCTTCTAAAAGATGTTTATTGCAAGGGTACCCATCTTTAGGTAACCCAGGTGTTCTTGGACTGCAACTCCCAGAAAGCCTGGCCAGCACAGCTTGTGACGAAGGCTTCTAGCAACTCCAAGCCAAGAATACCTAGGTTACCCAAGGTTGGAAACCACTAGTCTATTACATTAACAAGCCTACAGTAAGTAGTGAAATATTCAGAGAGACTTAACTGCATCAGATAACAGATTTCACATCATTGTAGTTAGACTACATAACTTTTCTCAATTAGTGTTTGCTCTACAGCATGCTCATATTAATTACGTAGAACCACTGCTGGAAAATATGGTGATGAAAAGTATATTTCAAAGTTACTTAATGAAGTAAAAATTCAATCACATGTTAATAAGCAGTCAGTCCCCAGTAGGAATTTGTCTCACACACCCCTTAAATGCAGCTGCATGAAGTACAAAAATAGCTTGTGTTCTGAAAGAAGTGAAAACACTGCCTGTAAAGGGAAATGCGTGGGATGAAATGGAAGTTAAGCAAGAACATCAAGAATTAGAGCATTTGTATATTACTTCCATATGAAATGTTAAACTAGGTTTTAAAGTTATTTCCTTTTTCATACCACTTCAATTGTTCTGTTGACCTTTTTTTTTAACTTACGAGTGGAGGCTAAAATTGGCCTATCATGATGCATAAATGGGATTTTAAAAAAACTTTTAGTTCATATTACAATATCCTTTTGCCAAAAATGTCAACAGAAAACTCTTCCTAATTGGTTTTTCCAAAAAGATTATCTCAAGTCTGTACTCTTAAGATGCTCAGTTTCAATGCTGTTTATTTGCTTATATGTTGAAGTTGGAGTAAGGTCCATTCAGCAATGCAAATCATGACTTTTCTCATACATCTATCTTTATTCAGTTTTTCTGTCCAGATTCTCAAGCAGGGCTCTTCCAGAATTAGAATTATCCTGAAGCCATTCTGCACCATTTACACTTTTCAAAGTGTTAAGCTTTGCTTTAACTGTAACTAAATCCTTTGCTTTCTGTATAGCCTTTCTTTTGTCTCCAAATATTCAGATGTAGGGATGGCAAACCAGAATGTTTTTACATAGGAAAGAATACTGAAGGCCCTTTTAAGATCAGTTGTCATCCTTCACATCAGAAACTTATCTCAGATCATCTCTTACGGTCAGAAATGGACAAAACATCTTGGTTGCTATTTCCTACATCTGAATCTTTTTCTATATAAGTGCTTCCCCTTTTAATTCAGAGGCAATTTTAAAATTCTTTTGCTTTTTTAAAAAAATATGATAGTACTTAAAATTAACAGTGTAAGTAGCATCTTTACATACATGCATTGGACGTCTGTATTTCCTGCAGGCTGTAACATGGGCAATAACACTTGCATGGGTTTCTTTGCTGACGTTAATTCCATTCACTTTGATTATGCATTGTCCAGGATGGAGGCCAGCTGCAGCTGCAACAGTTCCTTTAAAAGAGTTGGGTAAGTTGACAATTTAGACACATCAGTTTAGACAATCTGGAAGTGTCCACCCTAGAAAGAAATGGTGGAGGAGGGGAGGAAGCAGCCAAATGTGGTTTAATTCCTGTATAATGAAGAAGCATCTTATACCGGCATTGTGGTCCCAAAGCCTAGTAACCCAGGTGTTCTTGGACTGCGTTGACTTGAGTGTTACAGGATTCTGTTGACAAAGGGCTTTATAGGAGGATCTTTCCCCTGAATAGTAGTAGTAACTGGATTTATACTCTGTCTTTTTTTTTAAAGGAACCTAAAGTGATTCATAATAAAATTCAGGAAAATACATATAGATAAAAGCACAAAAGATTAAAAGCAAAAATTAAAACACAGCAGTCAAAGAAGGCAAAGTCAGCTGCCAAATATCCACCTGAACAAATATCTTGCTGATGGTGTAAACATAACTTGGTTTTTTTCCCCTCCATAGGCAGTTCCAAAATCTGGGTGTGGCCAAAGAGAAGTCTCACTCTTACATCCCACCAAATATGCCTCTAAAAGTAATAGGTGAATGGTGCTGTCCTGCTCAGTAAAGCTGCATATCTGTTGAGAAAGGGGAGGCTTCTGGAATAAACATCCTTCCCCTTAACAAACCCATAAAGCAAAGTCTGCTTTATAATAGTAGCTATTAAGTAGTGGTGAATTCACACAAAAGCACAATATTTCTATAGCCTAAGAGCTAAATCTTCACCCATGGACAACATTTTTTACATATGCCATCCACTGAAGAACTGCCTTAATTAAACAACCACTGGCCGTGGAATGCACTTTTCGCAACACATGGAATTGTTATACAATGGTTCTGAACTAAGCAATTCATAACACTATATTTGGTACAGAATTATCATTCTAGATTAATATTTAAATATGTATTTTTAAACCACCCTTTTAAAATTAGAAATAGTATCTTGTCTTTTTTTTTATTTTATTTAGTCATTCATTCATTTATTTGCCCCACTGGTTTTTCCCCTCTATTCATGGTTCCTAATCCTAAACACATAATTCAGTAATAAAGTCTGAAGGCAAACTACACGTACATGGGACTGCCACTGAAAACAGTCTTCCTTATGATCTGTCTGGGCCTAACTTTTGATTTGGGTGGATCATCACTATCATGTTGTGATTCCACATTTTTTGTCAAAGATTCCTGCCAACCACCAGTTGTGTGAAGGAAGAAATTTGTGTGGCAAGGCTGTTCTAAACATATGGCCAAGATAGGATGAACTTTGTTTTTAAGGGAAGTGAAACGTGGATTGATTGTTAATTCCAAGTGTCTTCTGATAAGTTTGTTTAGGGACGAAAATCTGTTCGTATAGCATGAGCTAAGACATTGCTACCATAAAAATTACTGAACTCCCTACCAGTAAGAAATGGATTTTATCTCCCTGTTTCTTCAATCCATATGTGCAACATATCATACATGCAGCTGGATCAGATTCTGATGAAGGAAGAGTAAAGATTTGCTGGAATGATACACTGATAACACTGATAACTATACCACCTGCAGAAAGGGGCATTAACTTAAAATGACAGTTCAGGAAAGAGAAAGAAGAAAGTGCAAAAGCAGCTCAACATGTAGTAAACAAAAATCTTGACTGTACAACTGCGTAATTTTTATGATATCAATAAAACTGTTGAAGATTTCTATACCTCCATTCAATCACCAATCCAAACAGAAACTGCACACAAGAAAATAGGAGACTGAGACTTGGAAGGGCAGCTAACAAAGAAAGTAGAAAAGATATTTAAGTGTAATGATGGAGACCAAGGCCAAAATTCTCCACACTATGGTATTCTCTATTGCAGTGTATGGCTGTGAAATCCAGACAGTGAAAAAAACTGACAGAAAAAATTGATTCATTTGCAATATGGTGTTGCAGTAGATATGATGGACTGCCAGAAAGACAATACTGTAAGTGGATTCTAGAACAAATCAAGCCTGAGTTCTCACTAGATGTAAATATAATACTGAGGCTTTTCTAGTGAAAAGACAATAATGCTGGGAAAAGTTGAAAGCAGTAGGAAAAGAGGAAGGCATTACCTGAGGCATTATCTGATATGGATTAACTCAATTTTAAAAACAGGCTCAGATTTGCAAGAGCAGATTGGGCTACTGATGATAGCTTTGTAGGAAACCAATTCATAGAGTCAGAAGCAACTTGACAGCACATAGCAAGAAACAGCTGTATAACAGTTCCTATTCACATCTGTATGTATTGTAAGACCAGAATCCAACTGGGGACATCTACTGATGCAAATTGAGTGGCGTCAACCTCTCCTTCCTACTACAGCTCCCCCAAAGCTTGCTTCATAGGATATTTTTTCTGGTAGCACTAAGGTCCTCTGTGGGAAGGGGAAGGTTTAAAGATTTGTCACACTTGCACAGTAACATTACACTTAGGCTTAAAACGTTTCTTGTTAATGGGTCACCATAAAACCAAGCCTAACCTAGTAATACAGTATCTTAAGGATTTTCTGAATTGGTATGAAATATGTTCTGGAAACAGAATTATCTACTACTAAAGACTATAAAAGATTTATGTTTCCTCAGTGACTTATACATAACCTCAGAGAAAATTTGATATTGGTAGAGCTCTACTATTTTAAAACATCTGAATATTTCACATTACACATACTGCACATCAATCTTACATAAAGTCATTCTCTGTTTCCGAAGAAACCCTCTGTACCTTAGAAACAGATTTCCCTGTCATTTGTCAATCTGACAAAAGTACTTGAACAAACTGAATGTTTTTTACAGAATGTATACACATTCCATACATTTTTATGTATTCACATTTTCATTTTCCTTAGCACTCCATTTGTAAGAAACAAATCTAAACTTAAGGAAAACTGCACTTTAAAAGCATTAACTATTTTTTTAAAAAGCCCTGAAGGGAGTGTGTAAATATGTTTCCATGTGGATGTATATGTGTGATATATTCATACACATAAAAGAGAAGGAAAACCTCAATTTTAAAGCAAAACGTTATGGCTAAAGTTATATATTTAAAAAGCAAAAAAATGTGGGTCACAGGTCAATCCCTCTTCCTGTTCTCATTGAAAATACAGGCATGCTGATGCACTCTTTTGGCCTTCAGTGTCTAAATATCACAGCACAATGCTACTAGTCATGTCACTCCCTAGACAGAGTAATGGTGTGGAACAAGTGAAATGAATAATGTCACCAGTTATAAACAGCAAGTATGCAGTACAATACTATCCACATTTACATAATCTTTACTAGTCCATCCAACCAAGTTGTTTTTGTGAAAAGTCTTATTTGCTAGTAACCTACTTCTAGTTACAATCAGAATAGTCCCACTTTATATAAATATTGATTTACCATTGAGCAATTGATTTACTGGATCTCCTCTTACTTACAATAAGCAGTAGGATACTAGCCACTGTGTTTTATGTGCCAAGTCCTAGGAAAGTGGAATGTTTTCTCTCTTGAGCAAACCAAAGAGTAGAGCTCAGTAACCTATTACGTACTATAATTACATTTCATGCAAACTCCAATTCTTACCTCTTCCAACAGCATGGACAACCGATGGACCAAATCCTCTTATTTGGAATCCAAGACCTTCCACAGAGTCAGGAATCTTCACTGTTCTGATAGCAACAGAAACCCCAAGATAAAAGATACAGTATCAACAGTTATTTTATTTAGAACGTTTACACAGCAAACATATATTTAATGTTATATTCAACAATACAAATGTTTAAGTAATTAAATATTTCTTAGACTTTAAAACACAAGCTCTTACAATTCATCAAATCAAAGAACAACTTACTCCCTTGGTTTTGTGCTCATAAGTACTCTAAGGGATTTTCTGCTGCTTAAACATGCTTTCAGAAAGCTATCCACTTCACTGAAGGGTCTCAGAAAAATGAGGTCACCATTAATGGCAAAGATCTTTTTCCCAACTTCCAGACCTGCCATCTAGATAAGAAAACAAAATATACAAGTAATTATTGTAACAGAACAAGCATTGTACTAATATCATTTGCTTATATAGAAGAATTGAGTATAATCTACAACTCAAATTCTTTTTCTGGAAGTCAAAATCAAACCTCTACCAAAAATTCAGAATTATAGGAAACATAAGCTTGGTTGCTTGCTCACTCCCTGCTCTCTCTCTCTCTCTCTCTCTCTCTCTCTCTCTCTGTGTGTGTGTGTGTGTGTGTGTGTGCGTGTGCGTGTGCTTGAGAGAGAGAGAGATGCAGCCTTGACAATGACAAGCATTTGCACTGATGTTAGACTATCTTGATAAACCTTTTCATTCCCCAAAAACCACAAAACTTACTGTATGTTCACACTGATGAATACAGAGATAAGGGAACACAAACTAAACAGTACTTTAGGTGATAAACTCTTTTGCCCGAAAGATTGATCTGCTACATCATCAGAACACTTCATCTGGCAAAGAAATTCTCTACCACTCAAACACTCAGGAGTAAACAGGACAATCCTGGGCATATTTTAGTCAAAACTGCAACATTTGAATAACAAGCAGGTCTAATTTTATGATTCAAGCTTGCCACTGAAAAAATGTTTCTCCTCCAACATTGTTCCCTATCTCATAAGGAGATGGAGATGAACTCTAGATCAATCCATATGTTTCCAATATTATACCCACTTGTCTCTGAGTAAAAAACACTGACTTCTAAGGGCTTACTTCCCAGTAGACATGTATAGGACTGTATCAGATAAACATTCTAGAACAGGGAGGGAAACCAGACATTTTACTGGACTGTACTCCATTGTTGATTATTTCCTGGATTTTGTATTCGCGTAGGATTCTTCTGAACTCCATACATTACATTAAACAAAGTTGAGAGGTAGTTTTTAACTATAAGTCTCTCTGCTTTTTTTTTCAAGTGTGGAAAAAAAGTCTTCCACATGGAATGTGGCATTGTCACCAAGGTAAATGTGTGATAAAACACCCATCTAGTTTTCCTTAGTCTTTCTTTATGTCACCAGTCTAAAGTCTCATTGCTATATGCAGGCAGTTGTACATTAACTCTACTTCTCCTCATTCTATCCACCCTCAGCATCACTTAATATGTATGTAACATCACTTCTCCTCATGTATACAGAGGCTTTCTCTTTGTGCCTCTTCAACTCCAGCAACTAAAGTCAAGAGGTCATGATCCCACTTCAGTTCTTCAGTGGTGTCAGCTCTGCTGGTGGTTACTCAGCATGTGAACCCAAGGTGGGCACCTCATACCATGAAGCATCTGCTCTGGTCTGATCTAAAGCTGCCTCTGGATCTCAGCATGGTTAAGCCATACATTTTGGAAACGTAAGGGCTCTGGCTACCTATAAACATAATATCAATCTGATATGCTCAATTATTTGTTGTTTCACTCAAATTGCTGGAATCAATTGTATTACTCACAGTAAGAGCACTGTAACAAAAAATGATTCACAGTGAAGCAACTTGGGGTTGCACTGTTATTTTGTAAGCTTTTAGAATTTTATATGCCAAATAAACATATTCTAATAAACATGCAAATATAAAACATATAATTCTACATTTTCCAAATGTGTGTAGTAGAAAAGATCATTCTCCTGAAAACATTAATAGTGCAAGATACTGAAGACACTGAATTCTGAGGGGGAAACAAAAACCACCAATTATAAATTATTATATATTACCTCGGCATTTGATCCCGTTTCCACTATTTTAATTATTGGTACTTTGTTTTTGTCTTCCAAACCAAAACCATAGCTTCCTTCAGTTGATTTAATCTGAAAAGGGGGGAATATCTGATGTTTGAACAGAACAAAATATTCACTTATTTATTGTTTCAACTTACATACTATGCCATAATGCTTGGAACACTCTCTTGGCAGTTTAAAACATAATTATGCAAACAACACTTTGACCTTCAGTAAGCTGGGCACTCTTTTTACTAACCCGGAAGGATGGAAGGCTGAGTCAACCTGGAGTCATCTACCTGAACTCATTGGTATCAAATTCAGATCATGAGCAGAGGCTTGACTGCAGTACTGCAGTTTAGCCACTGTGCCATGGGGCTTCTCTTAATACTAAAAATACCATCAGATCAGCAAGTTATAAATTTCCAATGGCAAAAAAATATGATTATGCTTTGTTCCTGCCAATCTCAGTCGTGGCAAATATGACTGACTGCAAAGTCTGCCAGCAAATATAGTATTTTTTTATTCTATATTACAGTCTTACAAACAGATTTTGCAAATCTTCTGGTAGAATTGGAATAGCAGGAAGAATGTCAGGAAAGAGGAAGATTCAGATAGGACAAAAGTTGTGATGGGATTTATACTGACAGAAAGCAATGCAGTACAGCTAGAAAGAATATTCACTTAATTCTTCAATATAATGAGGCAACTCAAGGAGGACTGTTAAAGCCCTGCAAGATTACACTTCCATCCGAGAGAAAGACACAGGGTTCTCATCTCCTCAAGGTGATCTGCAATTTGTCTGAAATGCCTCTTTTCCCTTTTAGAAGCAAAGCACACACTCACAGTGAGCAAACTATGCATTTTTTCTAACTCCCAGATTGTCCATGCTTCCTGGATATGGAAGTCTCATTGCCCTTTAGGTTCTGTTCAAGGCGCCTCCCAAAGAACTATTATGTTCAGGAAGCACTGTAGCAGCTCCCTCCCTGGAAGCATTGCAGTAATAAATGAAGGTCTGGAATCTGATGGAGCCTTGCTCTCCAGTAGCCAATAGATATTTGCAGTATGATCTCAAGTGCCTCTTCTTTTTCAGAATTGAAACATCAGGCGTTTCTCAGCCTTTGTTGCAACACCTTGAGAATGACTATGTTTGCAGGGGAAATCAGAGCAATGGTCCTGCAGTTACTGCATTAATTTTTGGGGCACCAGAATGTATATCAAACATTTCCAGTTTGTGGACCATTGTTGTCTTTTCCATATGTGTTGACCTACTCTTAGGATTCTGACACAGTCAGTTTCTGTGGCCTGAAATAGTTCTATCAGTTCCCCTTCTATCCCTGGTGATTTATTTCTTCCCAGGGCTTTCAGAGCAGCTTTCACTTCACTTTCTATAACTGTCTTCCACAGAGTCTGACATATACTATTTGATCACACGTTACCTTATAACTGCCTGTGCTACATTTTGCCTTAGTATTAGCACCACTCCATTTCTTCTGGGTTGCCATTTCCAAAGTAGAACACTTTGTAGTTGTCTCACTGAAAATATCCTCTTCCACTCCACTTAGGTTCACTGACACCAAGCACTTCAAAGTTCATATGTTCCATTTCTTGTTTTATGGTTCACTGACACCAAGCACTTCAAAGTTCATATGTTCCATTTCTTGTTTTATGGTTTCCAGTTTTCATTTATTCATACTTCTCACAATCCTAAAAACATTCTAACTATGTATATTGGGCAGAATTGGACTTTCCTTTTATCTCTGTGCGTATCCGTTACTATATATCCTTTCAGCTTTAATCTAGTTGTGTCATTAAGCAATAATATTCTTTATACTTGTCCTTTGCTCCTCCCCACTAGCTGATCCAGTGCTTTCCAATCTGAAAGTCTCATCTTCCAGCACTATCTCTTGTTTTATTTTAGGCTGTCTCATCACAAGTGTTTTCAAGGAAAGAAAATTCAGCAGTGGTTTACCACTGCCTCCTACTGTCAATGTAAGAAAAGTTCAACAATGGTTTACCATTGCCACCCTCAAAAGTCACTGCCATTGCCTTCAGCTGATATTGATGCCCAGGAACTGCCATCATCATCATTATTAGAATTATCAATTCTCTTCAGATGATCCAGCAGTTGCCTTTGGTGGATGCATCTTAGTCTGGTGTCTCAGTTGTGACCATTCCACCTCAGGTGACCAGACTTGTAATGGAGACTGGCCTCCTGACAGTGTTGCTCTCAGATTCACTGACATACTCAAACCCTTTCACTACAATAAAGTTTACATCCAATAAGGGCTGTGCTACTTTTTTTTCACAAAACATCCTTCTCAACAAAGTGAGAACTCTATCAAACATGCTACAAAATCCTTTCAATAGCATGGGAAAGAATGTTCCAATTTCTCATCTTTGCCTTGAAGGGTGAGACAAGTGAGGATTTTCACCCCTACTAAAAAGCCAAGCGATTGATACAGAGCAAGAACTATGCTACTTTTTGAACACCTTACCAGAAGTGACTTTGCAATAACATTTTCCACTACTTTTAAGTCATGTTTCATGAGCCTGTGCTTCATATTTGACCCTTCCATTTCTTCATCGGCAAAAAAACGAAAGAGAAGTGGTTCATCCTTAAATTCACTTTTTTCCAGCACTGTTGGATACACAAACAATTTTAATGTTTACTCTCTGATATTATAAATTCCTTTCATTATCCAATATATCTGTGAAGATTCTCAGTCATCCAAGTGAGGTTATCTGGACATTGAGTCATAGCAACTGGATGTCTTTCTTTTTCATTATCCAATATTCTTTTTAGACCTCCATAACAATATATATTTACATATTTTAAAATAATTAAATAATCTCTATCTGTCAGGTACACATATGGAAAAGTAAGTTCGCACATAACTCAAGTGAATAAAATGTACTTTTTCACTGTTCTAACCAAGATCCTTTTTATATCTTCATTCCGTTTTCATCAGAAGACAGCTGGATGTTCAATTTACATCAAAACCAATATAAACCAAGCAGTATACTGGCCTAGCTTTTCAGTAAAAAAAAAATCTACATTTAAGATACCAAAATAAAAAAATACTCTTTTATAAACCCCAATAAAATTAATTGGAGTTCTATAAGAGACAACAGTAATTGCAGGTAAAATAGCAGAAAAGGTAATAGGAAGCTGGTGATGTTTACTAGCGACAGAGAAAAAGATGTAGTGTGTATTGTAAGCACTGTGTAGCAGTTGTATATCCAGATAGTATGCCTGAATAAATTCCACAATAAATAGCATGTAGTTGCTGAACAGTCCGTAACATCCAGCACAAGACAATAATCAGCTCATGCCCAGTGATCTGTTTCTGCTGTAACTAAGTGGAATCTATCAGAAAAGGGAACACCCCTTATCCTTCAGCCATTTCTCATCTGTAGCAACATCTTACTAGCTCCACCTCATCAGTAAGTGTATTTTTGTACAGCTCCAAGAAATTTCTGTATGGCTTCCTTATGGGTTGTAAGGTTGCTCCAGTGTGTATACCAATGACTGAATAATCCATTAATTTCAGAAGGACTTAGAATCAAGTAATGAAGGAAAGGATGGAGAATTCACTGCTTACAACTACTGAATAAAAGTAATGAAGAACAACAACAAAAAACTGCATCCCCACTGCCATCAAACCTAGGTAATATTCTTCTTAGTTGATACTGAAACACAGAAGTATTTCCTAAATGATGAATTTCATCTATAAAAGCTAAGATAAACTCCCCCTCTGTATCTATGAACATCTGGTCCAAAATAATCACTGAATTTACACTTGTTTCTGAGCTACCTAAAACACTTACCATGGTGCATAAATCCATTGTCACAAAGTGCTATCCCAAAGATCATTGCTTCTTCTCTGGTCCTGCAATCCCCCTGTTAAACATATATTACAATATAAACATCAAGGGCAGCCATTTCAAATTAGAAAAAGATTCTGTATCAGTCACTATTGCAACACATACAGAAAATACTGAACAATTTACCATATACTGTACCACACACTGAATATATGCTGATGGGCAAAAATAAGAATTTGCAGTGTAACAGAGATGGCAAATAACTTAATGGCAGGTTAGTCACTGATTGATATCACGATCGGGTTGCACTAGCTGGGAGGAAGATTTGGTTGTCTAGTCCAGTGGTTCTTAACCTTGGGTTACTCAGGTGTTTTTGGACTGCAACTCCCAGAAGTCTTCACCACCAGCTATGCTGGCTGGGGTTTCTGGGAGTTGCAGTTCAAAAGTACCTGAGTGAGCCAAGGTTAAGAACCACTGGTCTAGTCCTTGTGCATTATGGGTGGAATTACACTAGGCTTGTATACCAAACCTTTGGCATCCAGAAGACACTTTGCAGTAATTTTATCTTAAAGTGATGTTCCAGAATAAAAAGAAAGCCAAAAGCTAGATCAAATTGCTTGGTTTTGCTTGAAGTGTTAAACAAAAACAAAAAAATTAATAATAATTTAAATGGGGAGGGGGATGTCAGACATCTGTAGCTGGTTCTTTTGAGAGAGACTCTGGATCTCCATAAGCTACCAAGAAATCCCACCTATTGCTCTTCTTTAGGTATAAGGTATACATCATGGAGAAATTTGCATTATTGATACAATAAAACACTTGACTTTGTAACCACATTTATGTGCTTCATAGCACTTCTTACCTGTGCAATTAGCCAGTCTATCAATTTATTAGCCATGACTACAGATTTGTAGGTTCTTAGATGATAATCTTTATCTCTGGGGAAACACACATACAATAATTCACATCCTGATTTGTATTTTTAACTTTGTTAAAATACACATGCAATAGAATTCATGATTAATCTAAACAATAACTTTATCTATTTTGAATTTTGTTAGCTTCTGATAAAAAAGCTTTACTTTGGTTATTTTGATTATGTATATGTCAGTCACATGATGTGAAAAGTTTTTGAACTGTCTGACACCTTTTTATCACCAGCAGTCACAAGAATCTGTTACAGAACAAGAGAGTTCTTAACCACTAGAGACTTGCATATTGTTTCTTTTCCGCACAGTCCCCATCCCCCCCCCCATGAGAAGAACAAAGACTTTGATCAATACAATCTTATGTTCAGCTCAGTGGTTTAGGTATCTGGCTGCAGAGCCAGAGGCTGGGGGTTCGATTCCCCACTGGGCCTTCTGGGAGAAGAGCCAGCCTGCGTTGTCATGGGAAAGCTGCACAGTCCCAAGGGACCCTCAAAAGAAGAAAATTATAAATCACTTCTGTGTATTCTCTACCTAGGGAATCCTAGAAAGGGTCTCGAGAAGTCAGAATCAACCTAATGACAAATAGTTGTTGTTATGATGATGATGATGATGCTTTTCTGTGCACTTACACTTCAATAAGATAGGTTGCTGCCAAAAATGTTACAAGGAGCCTCGTGACGCAGTGGTTAAACTGCTGTAGTGCAGCCAAAACTGTGCTTACGACCTGGGGTTTGATCCCAGGTAGCCGACTCAAGCCTTCTATCCTTCCGAGGTTGGTAAAATGAGTACCCAGCTTGTTGGGGGGAGGGCAATGCCCTAATTAACTTGTAAACCACCCAGAGAGTGCTTGAAGCACTATGGGGTGGTATATAACCAGCACGCTTTTTGCTTTTGCTTTTACTGGCTAATATAGTCCCATTTTTATTCTTCCCCTTTGTGGAGAGAGATATAACTAAGCCAACTGTATCTGAACAGAGCATCTCCTTGAGGCTGGGATGTCAAAGAAAACAATACAGTAGCATGGAATAATGTTATCATTATTCAATATTCTATTGAATCGCTTTTATTCCAAATCCATAAAGTCAAACTTCCTGTCTACGTATAATTAAATAAAATAGGAAGAAACACGAAGAAAAGATAGAGAGAGGGAGAGTACATCAGCTGAACAGTTTATCACCCTATTACTACTAACACACTGGTAATCTTCAACCCAGCATAGGTAGATAGCAATTATAAAACAACATTCTGAAGTGAAAGTCTGAAAATCAGACCTACCTTACTACAGGTGTAAATAGACTGTGCAGACGACAATACAATCTCACACCCTGTTAGAAATACAAATGGGTCTAATATAAACTACATTACTCAAAATCATGTAAAAGCAATTCTACAAAAAAAATCTACAAAACCATTCAAGGACTGTTCCAGATGGGAGTTCTCACTTTTTAGTTCTCCTTCAAACACAGATCATACTGAGATGATCCTCCTAACAGCCAATATCTCTCTTAACACATCAATTAACCCTATTAATCCATTAATTAGTACATTGACCTGGTATTCCTTATGCAGGAGCAAACATTAACATACAGTCTTCCTCCCTCAGAGGAATTCTAATGAAGATGGAAGAAGAAAATTCCAAAGTTTTCTTATAGCGTTCTGACCAAGCTTGGGCTATCTACTCTAAAACCCGTTTTAAAAGCAAAGTATAGGTAGTTTTCTCTTTGGGGAGGAGAAATGAAGAAGGAATACTGGTTAACATGCATTCTCAAGAAATCATGTCAAATCCAACATTTTTAACACATAAAATTACTGTCAATGTTACTTTTGGGGGGGGGGAATTAAAAGCCTTTTGCTGAGAAGTAGCACTCCTGCTTTTGCATCTCCTATGATCCCAACGGAAACAACCCTATGTCAAAATAACAGTTGTTCAAAATATTATACCACATTGTAATAAAGTGAAAGAGATAAACCAATCATCACACACATAATATAATCCAAACTAACATTTTCACACATTTAATACTTCTCTCATTCTCTGCCACCGAAATAAACTCTGATCAGTCAAAGGAATTTCTTTTTCATTCCTCTCCCTCTCTTACTATATGCTGGATTTCATCCTGGCTATACAAACTTTGGATGCAGCAGTGCTTGGCCATGAGTTTATGTTGCATCTGAACTAGTCTCCCAGGTTTTTCAACCAGGTTCTTTCATCTCCTGCACTTCTTTTCCTGTTTATTTTCCCTTGACTGCTTAGCTGTAAAAATCTGTACTTTTCATTTTCATTACACAACCAAAGTATTCTATCTTTCTGCATTTTAATGGGTTTTTTAAAATATATTGCCCTTTATCCATTTATTTCAGTGCTTCATCATTGGTCATCCTTGTAATCAAAAAATTCTTAGCATCCTGTGGTAGATCCCAGTTCTTATTTTTTAATATAATACTGTTCAAGTCCACAGTTCTGTGCCTTGCAGTGGAACTCAAATAATCATACACTGCACCCTCTCAAGGCTAATTTTAATATCTTGTTTTATAGATACTTATATTCTGCATCTTAAGGAAGGTGCTCTGTTCTGTTCTGACTTCTGTTGTATGGTTATGATCCCACTGTTCACTCAACCTAATTCCCAGGTACTTATATTTGTCAATGTGCCCCACACTTTTATTTTGCATCTTTACATTGTTTTATAGTTTATTTTATAATTATTACCATTAATTTGATTTTCTTATTTATTTTTAGAATGCATTCATTATTTCTTTCATTGGTTTTGTAGAGAAACTTTGCAGATCACTTCAGTTCTCAGACTGAGATTCTATATCACCTACATATACATTGCTGACAACCTCTCCACTTATAAGGATAACTTCATTTAAACCAGCAAGTGCTTCTCTAAAAATGTTCTCATACTACTAATTGAAAAGCAGTGAAGGGATATCTCTCTGTCTCTTATCATTTGATTTCCAACATTCACTGCAGCTCTTTGTTGCCAATGCAGATAATCAATTATATGAATATCACCTGGATCAAGATCTTTGTTCACCAACAACTCCATTAGCCTGCCATATTGCACTTTGTCAATGGTGTTCTCACAAGAACAAGCATTTATTGTATTCCTCATTTTAGTAGACAAGAGCATGGCGTTCTTTCAAGCTGTGTCCTCTTATCCACCCACTTTCCATATGCACACTTATGACTTACTGAGTTTATTTATCTGGCATAAGAAAAGACTTCCCATTCCCAACCAATAACTGGAAAACAAGATTCTCAGTCTCCCCCACCAAGCTGCGTCACGTTTAGCATTTCATCCACATGGGCTCATTTGTGTGTGAAAGGAGCAATAAGTCTCTGTGTGTTATATCTGCAGTTTAATGGATGCATCTGGAAACTGATTCTAACTTAATTACATCCATATGAAAAATGATTTTGCCTCAACATTCTAGGCAAATTTCAACAGAAGACTAACATGGGAATTATTCAAATAATTCAAAATATTTTAAGGATTCAATTAAAAATGTTAATGGGTTTTCAAATGTTGTAACAACTGACTCTTCTGAAATAGTTTGTCAACATTTATAAAGAAATTAATTAAAATATGTTATGTTTCAGAAATGGCACACTCAAAATGTACCAATGTGTCTGAAATCAACAGTAATATGAAGAAAATGGGAGATACCACTAAATGGCAATCACCAAAAGAGCAATATGCTTCACCGGATGCTGTTAGACACTGGCTGAAGTATATGAATTGCACAACTCCATCCTGTCTTCTATATAAAATGGCACCTACACATGTAAAGGCCTTTAAAAAGGATACTGTGGACTATTTTTTCTTTTGTTGTGTTAACACAGCCATAACTCATTGGCTATAAAACAAATAGCAATACGCCAGGAATGCTATCTCGTGCAACCATGCATACGTGCAGCTTATTTACTCTGGCTACAATTTATCTCTACAAGAATGGATAAATCAGCCAGAGACAGCTTGGCACATATTCAGTATGATGGTTTACAACACCCATACTAGCTGGGACCATAAGCCAACTTTATACAGCTTTCACTTCTAACTTGTTAATTTTACCTACCACAATAATCCACATCATGATTGTTAGGTAGAAGCAGGCAGGTTGCATACATCCATAAGATGTTTGCTCACATCATGATCTAATAAGTATACCTGCTATTATGTGGAAATATCAGGACTGTTTCTTCATCACATGCTATCTAGTCCTTAAACAAATAAACTGTATACATGACATTCAAAGTTAAAAGCCGCAGAACACAACAAACCTTACCAGCTCCAATAAAAAGGTCTCAGATTATATATCATATTACATTACCAATTTATCTCCCAGTCCGCAAGAAATTCAATGTGGTTTATTTAGCTTTATAACATTCCTCAGATAGAATAATTTTATTAGATTAGTTTCTTCTATGTCAACTGAATTTGATTCACAGTAATACCTGATAAGAACAGACACAAGAAAAAGAGGTGAGGGCTGCATAGCTTTTAAACAGAAGGTTAAATTTATATGGTATAGTAAGAATATACCTTAGAAATGACATCCTGCATTTCGCTTCTTGGATAGTATGTGCCATCATCATAACGGAATCTGTAGAGCATGTGTTCAGGTTTAAATTGGTGCTTGTCTGTAACTAAAGCAAAAAGTAGATGAAAAATCCAACTACATTAACCACATGAAGAAAGCACACTAAATAGTCTAGGATATGTATGTACTAAATTTGCTAAATTTTTCAATATGGAAATGTATGAAGAGCATATTTCTGCTACATTCCTCAAATATTTTTCCATTCAGAATCTAGTACAGATGCAGTTAATTTGATTGGCCCTATATATGGACCTTCATTATTTCCTGAACTTTCAGTTCAAAGATCTGAACAAATTATACTTTGGTAATATCTTTTGACCCCTTAGTAAAAAGCGAAAGGTCATGAAAATCTCTAGTTTTCAGGAGCCTCTGCACTTGCAAGTTGAAATTGTAAAGGTTTTAACATCTAATGAACACCTGAGAAACAGCTATCCATGAATATCCTTCACATCAGTGCAGCAAGTTATGTTTTGGGGAGCAGAATGAGGACAGGGAGCTTTTGTTGGGGTTAAACATGATGATGCATTGAGTTCACTGTGCCTCTGAAACACTAGAACCATGAAAAGACCTGGCTGTCAATGCACAAAATCCTGTTTTCTTCTGTGCAGATGGGCTGCACACAGGCTATCATGTATGCAATTCTCTCTGTCTCTCTCCTTCTCCCTCCCTCCCTCCCTCTCTCTCTCTCTCACTATTCCAAATTGCACAACCCCCTTTTTTATGTATGAGCCTTGTTTTCAACAAGCTGATCTCCAGCTTGTGTAAATTCCTGGATCAATTGCAGACAACTCTCCTCAGGGGCAGCCACACTAATGGGATTCTACCCAATGATATTAAAAAAAAAAAAACAGGAATTGGGAATGCAGGCCCTCAATGTGCTGTTGGACTGCAATATTATTTCCCATCACTCCTCAACACTAACTATATGAGTTAGGATGCATGGGAATGGCAGTTCAACAACTGGAGTGCCACAGTTCCAGACCCTTGCTTTAAAACAACTTAATTCAGGTTCATTCAAAATAAAGTCCATCACTGACCAATGTTCGTTCAAATGTGCTATTTATTTAACCCTTGATGTTTAGCATATTGTGTAGGAAAGACATCTTTAATCAGGTTCAAGTTTTACTGCTTTACAAAATAAAGTCCATCACTGACCAATGTTCATTCAAATGTGCTATTTATTTAACTCTTGATGCTTAGCATATTGTGTAGGAAAGGCATCTTTAATCAGGTTCAAGTTTAATGCTTTGTCAGTTCAGCTGCATGGCAGCTAGCAGATGCTACATACACGTGCATATACATGTGTATGTTATGCATTTGCTTAACTAGCCTGTTCAGGAAGATGTAGACTTGTTGCCAAACAAGTGCTGGAAAACAATGGAAAAACTCTGTAAATCAGTTCAAACTAGTCTGTAGCAGAATTAATAGGAGCGAACAGAAGTAGTGGGTAGTGACAGAAGGAAAAACAATTAAATGAGCATCTGGAGATGCTTAAGTGGGTTAAATAAGGAACAAGCTGAATCTTGATCACTCTTGTTTTGTAGTACAGATTGACAAGTTTAACTGTAATCTTCAAATAAATTAATTAGAATGAAACACTATCATAGTGATAAGAAGCTTACATTTATTAATCTAAAGGTAAAAGGTTCTTTAGATAGTTGTTTATAAATGACATGAAGTTATAATGATACTTTTAAAAGCCTTCTAAAAGAATTTCAAGTTATTTATGCGAATCTGTGTGTGCACATATTTAATTTATATTCACAAAATGTGCTCAGAATTGTCACTGTGTGTGCATATGTACATATTTGGTAGATATAATTATGTCTCATTACTAATTAAGGAAAACGAGCAAACCCACACAACATATCTATAATAGTTCTGATTCTACTCTGTTGTTAGCAAACAAAACCTGACAATGTGACATGTCTAACCTAGTTAACAATTATTTTTATCAGTATTACAACTGCTTTATCGTTCATAACTAAAAATTGCATATACAGAAATTGCCATATAATATATTTGCATTGTAACACTAATTCTCTAACATACTTAGATCCTCCCTTTCTTTACTGAAAAACAGATGGTTCATTCAACTTTATTTTAAGAATTCTATTCCTACAGAAAACACAGCTGTGTCTACATGCTAATAAAAATAGTATGTTCAGTTCAGACCTCTGTGCCCTAAAATAATTACTTCACCATAAAAGTCTATAAAACAGTTGTTAAATTTCTGTTGGGTCAATCTAGGATTCAGTTCTCAATACAGCTGAAGAGCAGCTGCAGTTTTGACATTAAAATCTTTCTTGAAACAGAATTGTAACTCCCTACATATAGAAACAGTCTGGTACATGAAAACAGGATGCCCTTCCAATACTGAAACAATAGTCAAAATCCTGATCACAATGCCCCAATGTGTGCCTCACTGATTATTTTTTTGTACCAGTTGTGCACAGGGGTATTCACTTTCCCCTATACATGTGTTTTCAATTGTGCAATCTCCAGCTTGCATAACTGTAATCCAGACACCACTGGAGCAATCACAGTGTGCTTCACCCACAAAGCAGTTATGCTTCACGGCTGCTACGAGGATTCTTGCCTTATCAAAGCAAATACATAATCAAAATGCTCGTAACACTGTTAATCTAATACAAACACATCTAAGCATCATTCCTTCTCTCTCTCTTCTTTGTCTCCCACTTATTCTCTCTTATATCTTGAACATTTGTCACTTGGTTACTGAATGCAAGTTAGATAAATATGAGCAGAGCTCAGAAAAGTTAAATTTTGGACCACTGTTCCTAAAGTACAGCAGACGATGCTGGGTGGGAATTCTGGGGGTTCTTATCTAAAAAGCAATGTTTACAAACTCTAGGTACAAAATACTTCAGAGAACTGATTAATATTTGGCTTACCGGAAGAAAAGTTAAGTTCATTTTGGTCAACTGAATGCATTATCTACAGAATTATGCACACTAGTAATTCTGCATTGTCTGAAAAAATATTTGCATTTATATTCCATTTTCCAGACAGGCACATTTCCTCTCAACTAGCTTACAATCACAAAACACATGACCCAAAACAACAGTTATAACTATTTAACTCCACAAAGCCAAATTAAACACCTCCAAAGGATTAAAATTCCATCATATAAAAGTCATTTTTTAAAAATCCTAAGTAACATATGCAATGGAAGGAGGGAATTCCACTAATGTACATTTTGATTAAGTGAAGATTAAGGCAGACAGCCATTTGAAGGGAGAAGTTCAAAAGGAGTTTCAGCATGAAGGGATTTTAAAACTGATGAACTGCCCCTACACTTCAGGTGATAACAGGTTATCCAAAGCACAAATGTTTTAGTAAAGTTGTGATATAACTTTGCGTCATCAGCCTATTTGACACCATCAAACTTCAAACTGTCACACAGTCTCTCCCAGCTGCTCCGTATAGGCAGTTAAGCAACATGAGAGATGTAATGGCACCTTGTCTCACCTCACAGGCTCCTCTTCTGTTGAATATCCTGAACAGGTGGCACAGCCAATGGTACTGACTGACACAAGGAAGTTCAGTGAAAAGATTAGATCTTTCTAAAGATTAGATTCTTCTGTCCAACCATCTTTCATTCTGAACACTAAACCAAAGTTAGGTTGAAATGGGTCTAGATATTTACTTGCTGCTTTTTTAAGAGGTAAATTTTCAAACAAACAAATTTGCCTAAGTATGGCAGATATAAAATATAAACTCCCCCCAATAAGGCAGCAGTATCTTTATCTCATACAAATCAGCCACTACTGCTAGCCAAGCTGAACCTAGTCAGGTAGGAAAAGCATAAAATAGTATACACATAGACCTGCTCTGCTCCAAGGGTCTTATTCACATTCAGGCTGCAAAAATTAGATTTCGCATTAACCACTGCAATGACATAAGACTACAGTTAAATACAAGGGAACCTCAATTTACAAACTTAATCCGTATTGGAACAGTGTTTGTACATCGAAACATTCATAAGTCGAAGCAAAATTCCCCATAGGAATGCATTGAAAACTATTTAATCCATTCTGGATGTTTTTAGTTCTTATGTAGAGGTACCATTCAGTAGAGGCATTAGTTCCCATAGGAACTAATGCAAAGCCGGTTAATCTGGACAGAATTTTTTTCTTTTTCCTTCTTTTGACCTAAGATGAACTTCGGTCAAAAAAAGGGCAGGAAAGTAGGGAGGGGGGAGAGAACACCTTTTAAACAGAACACGTTTTTGCCCCGTTCGTAACTTGAAGCTCTGTTCGCAAGTTGAAGCAAAATTTTGCAAATGGAGCAGTTCGTAAGTTGAAATGTTCGTAGGTAGGGACGTTCGTAAGTCGAGGTTCCACTGTATTTGAAAAATTTTGAGGCAGGGAGGAGACATACATACCATGGTGGATAATTCCATTTTCTAGTAAAGCCTGCCCAAGATGAACGCCTTCCTCTGGTCTGTGAATCTCTCCAATTTCCAATAACCAGGACACAAATTCACTTGGGGGGGCGAGTTTGCGGAAAAATGAAGGAATAATTAGTTTCAATCAAATTATAGGAAGTTACAGTATCATTACAAGCAGAGCTGTTGTGGAAGAAACAGCGGGATTTGTAAGTTTGGTAAGGTACTGCTAGGGAGATCTGTGCTTCTTCTGCCTAGATTTTGTTAAGCTCCAAATAGAAAGTGCAAAGGCCACACTGCTTCCACAGTGGGACTCTTGACTTCTGAAAAATCTCTAAAAACAAAATCCTGTGCTTGGAAACAAACATAAGTTTGCATCTTCCTAAAGTGAAATACCTGAATGTCAAAGATGTGACTGTTTGCTTGAATTTTGACTTCCCATCCAAATAACCGTTCAGACTAGCACATACCATCAAAACCACCGCCCACTTCAGTGTTAACAATGAGTAAATCAAAACTGCTGAAGATGTTCTATACCTTGGTTTAATCACAAATCCAAATAAAGATTGCATTGGATTAAATTGCCATAACTGTTTTTTTTCAAGTTTTTTTAAAATGAAACAGTCTCCATGAATCCTCAGAGGCTGATTTTTTTTAAGTGTGAAGGTGGGGGTCTAAGGTTCCAAGGGTGCTGGGAAACTGTCAAAACATAACGCAATTGCCCTCCAATGTACTCTAGAGAACACAGGAAGACCTTCTAAGCAGAAACATTTTTCAAACACTTTAAAATGTTTTTTAACGACTGTAGAGGTGTTAAGGGTACCCAGGGGTGCTGGAGGTCACAAAATGCCCCTAGGGGCCACATGCTACCCGTCCATGCAATAAAGCCACTGTCTTTAGTCTTGATGATTTGTCCAGAGCTTTTAATGATGGGACCTTTGCAAGGTCAATAATTCAAAGTATTACTGCAAGTCAAAAACAACTTCACACAAATAATAACAATCAAAATCATATTCTCTGGTTTTCTCATTGGTATTTTCCCATGAATTTATAGCAGCATGATATGAACAGTGATGCCATCTAACAATGAGACAGGATTCATGCATAACACACCCACAGGATTCTATCTACATTTTAGCTAACATTCCAGTCTGTAGCAAAAATAATAATAATCAACACAGTCTCCACACCAGCATGAAAAATTGAAGATCAATTCACAAATCATTTTTTATGTGCAGAATATGATTCAAAGAGGTCATTTTCAAGGTTTGGAAGAAAGGCTCAAGAGCATAATACATATTTGCTCCATAGTTCTTGAATTTTCATGCATAACACACCCACAGGATTCTATCTACATTTTAGCTAACATTCCAGTCTGTAGCAAAAATAATAATAATCAACACAGTCTCCACACCAGCATGAAAAATTGAAGATCAATTCACAAATCATTTTTTATGTGCAGAACATGATTCCAACAGGTCATTTTCAAGGTTTGGAAGAAAGGCTCAAGAGCAAAATACATATTTGCTCTATAGTTCTTAAATTCGGAATGTTGGTATCTTTTGACCTTAAAAATATTGTGTAAAATATTTTGGACAATGTTGGAGCCTAAAATAACTGTTTTTTGCCGGGTTTTAATGCGTTTCTATGGCCTTTTTAAAATCGCTTTACAACGTTTTCATTCTACAGCGATTTCGCTGGAATGAATTAATGTCGTAATGCGAGGCACCACTGTATTGGTATCTTCTGACCTTAAAAAATATTGTTTACAATATTTTGGACAATGTTGGAGCCTAAAAGAACTGTTCTTTTAAAGGTATCCCTCATGATTAATTCATAATTAAGTAGGTTGTCAAAGAAAAGCTAAATACACACCTTCCAAGGAAGCATTTTGGAAAAGTGGTTAATTTTCTTTTGCGGTCTTTGATCAGGTTCCCTTGTCTGCACATCATTTTGTACAGTCTCTCTCCTTGCTCAGAGATCATCACCCAGGTATCTTGCTCCATGCCTAGCTTTAACCCTGAGAAAGAAACCAAAATGCAATCATTCTGAAATGCTTATATGTTCTGGGAATCACCTCTGGATATCTTGAACGAAAGCTAATTTGTGATGGAAATAATTAAAAGCTGTTATAATACAAACAGAATGGTAGCATATACCACTGAAAATATATTTATATGTTTTCCAATAGAACAATATATGCCTTATTTTTAGAGGTGAAATATAAACAAGAGAAACAGGTACTTGGTTCAATTCATTGCATTACCAGCTATATTGATACCAGACTTATAATACAAACAGAATGGTAGCATATACCACTGAAAATATATTTATATGTTTTCCAATAGAACAATGTATGCCTTATTTTTATAGGTGAAAGATAGACAAGGGAAACAACAGGTACTTTGTTCGATTCATTGTATCACCAGCTATATTGATACCAGATAGCATGCTATCTTTTTGGAAGGATCCTCATCAAATGTATAATGACGGCAGAATCTTTTCAGAATTACCATTTAACAGGGATCTCACTTCTGACTCTGAATGGGTTGAGATTCAGTCTACCTGTCGGACTGATATAGAAACAAGGGATACAGATGCGACAAGAGGTTGACACAATTAGCTAATGACAGGCCTTAAATGGAGGCAGAGGGTACAGACCAAAGCTGATATTAATTCATGTCAAGCAAGAGTTTCTGCTGTCTTGTACAGCCTACCATATTTCCCTCTTCCACATCCCCCTCATCCTAAACAAGGGATACAGATGCGACAAGAGGTTGACACAATTAGCTAATGACAGGCCTTAAATGGAGGCAGAGGGTACAGACCAAAGCTGATATTAATTTATGTCAAACAAGAGTTTCTGCTGACTTGTACAGCCTACTATATTTCCCTCTTCCACATCCCCCCCTCATCCTTTTTTTTCAGTGACAGATTTTAAATTCATAAGATCTCCAGAAAGTCAGCTGAATTCCCTTTTCAGTTAGATTTATGCAAACCTTTTCAATTAGTCTGTATCTGCAAAAGTGAGCAGCAGTTTAGCCAATGCTGTCTTGATAAAGTAAACAAAATAATCTGAAGCTTCTTTGTATTCATGGTGAACGGAATGCTGTTTACAGCTACTCTTAGCAAAGGTATTTGAATTTTTGCAAACAGTTTTATTCATGAATCATCTGTTATTCCACTTGTTATTAAGTCAATACATTCCAAGTTTTATTCATGAATCATCTGTTATTCCGCTTGTTATTAAGTCAATACATTCCACTTCTTAAAAGAAGTGTTTCCAGAGATGTTTTGGAGACCACTGAGAGGAAATAGTAGAAATCTATACGATGACAAAATAAAAGCATTTCAATAAAGTTTCAAAAGCTTTTCTTTTAAGAATTGGCATGATAGACCAGCCTAATCTTACTACTCCTGTCCTATTTTTCTCAAAGCCTTTGGAAGAATCTACGATTGTGGTTCGGTGAAGTTCTGAGTAACAGCTGTCTTTTATATCAACTACATAGTGCTACACAAACCTCAGGGAAGATTGTTATTAACTCATTCCCATCTCAAACTCAGTGTCACCCTATGCACACCCAGTAAAAAGGCAACACTGAAGCTTGTGCATGAGCTCCCAAATCCCCTACCTTACCCACAATCAAACTGAGCCATGACATAAAAATATGTACAGTATTTCATTTCCAAAATTCTATTTCCTACATTTATGACCACCATCACCCACACTTGGGTTTTCCCAGCAAGACCCTCCCATAACCATTTCCCCATTTTTTAAAAACCTAATATAGCATTCTGCCAGAAGAAGAGTCATCCAAAGCCTGCAGAAATATTTTACAACTTTGTAGTTATCAGCCATTTAATAAAACCAAGTCCTGGTAATCCTATCAATTTCCAAAATTATCATTATCCTGATGGACTGGTGTGTGTGCAAACACCTCATGAAAACAATCATTCACTCTAAAGCTTTATCTTCCTCCGACTATCAGCATTGCAGATTTATGGATCATCTCCTCACACAGCCAACATGGCAATAAAGTGTTCATATATGAAATATTACAGATACATTCAGGACTTATAGTTGTAGATTTTATTCTGTAATCACCCTGCCTCACATATAGCATTCTACAGGGTGGATCATGACAAGATCATCTTCTGTTTATAAATCTCCCATCCCCATGTTTTCCTACTCTATCTTCTGCCCTTCTCTTACCATTAAAAATATTTAAGACAAAAAAAATAGAATATATGTAAATTTTGGTTGGTAGCAGAAAGAGTCCTTACTCAATAAATATTTTGAGTCTGCAAATCCTAACAACAGCATAAAGTTCCACATTTCCTGATATCAATGTCTCTCACTCCTATGTGGTCTCACCTGGTTTTCCTCCCACATGATGAAATAGAAATAACTCTGATTGTTTCTGATATCACACGGGAGGAAAGAGAGAAAGACAGGCTTGTGGCAACTTTAAGACTAACAGACTGATATTCGTGTGAATGTTCATGGACTACAATCCACTTGTTTACAAGCAGAAAACTGTAACTAACTCAGAAGCAATAGTGACTTTTGTAATGCCTGCTGAAACAGAATAACATACCTAATTCTTTGTAAAACAGAAACAAATCTCTATTTCCATTAAAGTCTTAGTTTAAATGAACAAGCTAGCACACTCTTCTAGAGAAAGGGAGATACACATTGGTGACTGTAGGCAAGAGAGGAGTAAGTGGCTTGGCAAAACCTGTTTGGACACGTAGACGACTCAAGCTGAAGAAAGCAAAAGAGCCACACAGATTATCGTCTTCCATGATGATATTATCTAGAAAGACTCCTTGATGTGAAGATTGTACTCTCACCTTTTCTTCTTTCCCTTTCTTTTAGAATAGCTTCCAGCCATTCTTGCTTTTCTTCAGGTGTTTTCGCCATACACACAAACCATTTGTTCTTTGCTGTGTTGTGAATCTTCCAGCCATTGAGAACAATGTGGCCACTGCTGTGATAGTCAGCTGGAAAAGAACAAGAGAAAGAAAAATTTTAAAGGTATGTACAGATGTTTTCCCAGTACTACACAGTATGAGCCACACAGATTAGTTTCTGATCCCACTCTAAGATAAACAGAAACATTAAAAGCAATGAAGAATGTCTCTCTCACTTTAAACACAAAAACAAAAACTTTCAACTGCTAGCATAGATGAATGTGCTTTTTTCCATGTTCTGAGAAGACTTTAAAATTCCTCTATCACACTTGTATATTGAAATTTTTTTTGAGAAGGAGTATGGAAACTCTCCGGTCTTACCAATGATTCCATTCCTCACTCAGACTGGCAGCCCATCACTAAGGTCTTTGGCAGTTCAAGCACAGTGGGATCACAGCGCTTGAGAAGAGTCAAAGACAATTTAAATCAGCAGTGGGCAATTTATGGTGGTCAGGGAACTGCAATGAGAACCCTTAGGCCTGCCTGTGTCCAACCACAGCTGCTTCCGCTGTGGAATTTGCTATGTGTTTCATTTAAAATTAAAACACGCACCCCCAACAAGACTTACAAGTGTTGTCTGACTTCTGGAAGGACAATTCTGTTCATAAACAAGGTAGGCAGAACACATGTATCTTGTTTAAAGAAAGATTGTGAGATTTTGATTGTCTGTTTTTAACCAAGTAAAATTGGCTACAGCAGTGGGGACTCAGGCAGATAGTAAGAATGTGCAAAACTGGTCCCTGGGCCACAATGTAGCCCACTGTCCATCTAGTGACTACTTGGCTACAGCAGTGGGGACTCAGGCAGATTGTAAGAATGTGCAAAACTGGCCCATGGGCCACAACGTAGCCCACTGTCCATGTAGTGACTACCCATGATCTAGATCAGTTCACTAATATGTGATAAGACCATCTGTCCAACAATAAATCAATCAATACAGTCAAAAGCAAAATGCAGAAGCAATTACAGAATAAGTGGTGGATTCCATCACTCCTTGCTCAACTCTTTTTTAAAAAAAAAACTATTTCACTTCTTCCAGACAATACCAAATAGGTGCATGAATATTTGTCATATATATTATTTCGAAAATGCCAGACACAGAGCCAACTGAATAATTTGCAGTGGGAAATTTTCATTTTTTATTTATATTTTTAAACCTAAGTACAATAATATGCTTTATTTAATGGAATATTTTATTAAACATTTGTATGTTATGTTATTTTATTAAATTTCTACTCCACTCATCTAGTGGCAAGACACTACTCTGGTAGTATGCATATCCTTAGTAAAATACTATAAATGCAACCTATTCATATTTAAACAGATTCTCTAATTAGTGCAGAAGTACATACCTGTGCCATCATCTACATTCTCCACTTCCATCACTTCTGTGTTTATTCTGCCCCTGAAGAGATACCGATGGCCTTCTGCAGATGTTTTGCTATTCTTTAATCGTCTGGGGTAGGGTGGAGAGGTCCAACAGAGGAAGAGTACAAAAGCATTGTTGAAATTACCACTTTACTCCAGGATCATCAAGACTATTAATAATTTTTAACAATTCATTGTAGTAGGGATGTAAGAAATCTTAGTTTAAAAAATGATACTGTCAAGACTCTATTCTATATGCTGCAAAAGATAACTTGACTTTACTCTGGATTAGCTCCATATGTAGGCACATGTAGCTGGGCCGAGTGAAACAGATTTGCCTACCCTATTCACTCACATCACATCTTCAATCCTGTATCTTACCTATGCTTCCTCTTGCAATAGACCAAAAGATTGTCAAAAAGAAAAAACACCCGTTCCTGTATATTTCCTGCCGAGATCTTCAGCAAAACTCCATGCATCAGCATTTCTGTACATGTGTCTGTAATATTTGATCCCTAACCAAGAAACATACAAAAAGAACAACATTTTAGACCCTAACAGCTGGTAGATATTGGCAAAAACTAAAAGCATACAAGTGTTTAACACAAACTATGAAGTTAAGAAAATTAAAAGACATTTTACAGCAGGTATTAGAAAGATTACTAAGCAAAATTCTTTATAGCTAATGGCCAAAATCCTATTAATTACCCCTGATAACATAGTGTAACTGGTGTAGATTTCAGTGCCCAATATTTGCAAATAATTTAATTAACATAGGCATTTGTTGATGCAAACACTTACACCATCTTCTTAACCTGCAATTCATTCCCAAAACTTAATATCAACTGTATTGTGCTGGCTTGTAATAGGATTTTTCCATAATCTGACACAAGAACTGCACTTAAAATTTATTTAATATGTACTAGTACATTTTTCTCTTAATAAAATAATCGATTATGGACTGAAGCTTATGTACCATCTAACTAAACACACATTTATGAAAAGTTCACTCATGGTACTCCAGAACCATCAACTAGAAACAGTGGGGAGTAAATATAACACTTCTGCATGCAAATATGTGTCAGTTTACAAGTATCCAAGCTTCTTTGTGAACTTTGGGTTTCTGTGGAAGTACAATATGATTTCAGAGAAATACACATGCACACACAACCCTGGATTTCAGTCACATTAATTTAGAAAAATGAAAACCTGGATTATGTTTTTAAACATTTTTGCTTAGAAAAATGAAAACTTGGGACTACATCTCTAAAGTCTTCGGCCTGGACATAAGCTCAACTGAAATCAATAGAACTTGGTTTAGTATAAACAGGCTTAAGACCAGAATGTTAGACAAATCAGTCTAAAGAGCTAAGCCATTTACACTAATTAGAATTCTACTGAAACTGGAATCATGACATAATGAAGCAAGACCTTGATTTAAGTTACCAAAACAATGTCTGTAAAAGGCACTCTAAATAATAGGCTGAAACCATCCTCTACCTATAGTAAATCTAGATTTTTTTGTTAGTTTTTTAAATAGTCTCTTTACAGACATGTGCATCTATTCTGGTTCACTTTCTTATGTCACAACTAGAGATAGAGGTATTCGTAATCATATACAAATAGGAAAATGCCAACGCAGCTGAAGTTAATGATGGTCCGCCACGTAGGGTCAGACCGTTCACTCATGCGTCCACCACCACCAGCCTTGCTCATCCTTCCAATCACTCCCAGAGCCCCGCTCTCTTCCTGCTCAGGTAGCCACTCCAGGCAAGTGGAGGGAGGATGAGTCTCCCTGCACGGCTGCCAAGTCGCTAGCCAAGCAGGAAGAGAGAGGGGCTCCGGGAATGATTGGAAGGATGAGGCCACTGCCAGATGGTGGACCCAGAGGGGCAGACCTTCGTTAAATCCAGCTATGAGGGGATATTCATATTCGTATACAAATATGAATACATTGATGTTGCTTTACGTTGAGTCATGTCATTATTTTATCCTGCCACCAGGGTCCCTAGCAGGATGTACTACAAGATATGCTGAAACATTATTTAAAAATATTATTAAAACAGATTTAAAAATCAAAGAGCAGACATTTTGACTGCCAGTTGTAATCTCAAGGATGGAGCTAGCCTGACTTCCTTCAGGCACAAAATAGACAGTCAAGATGCTGCTACAGAGAAAGCCCTATCTTATGTACACATCAACTTATTCTGTCACATTTGTTGTGAGAAATGACTACACTCAAAAGAAGGTCTAGCACTTCCATTAACTACATTCTTTATTTCAGGTTGATATTATATATTTAGAGGTGATTTCTATGCTGCCTTTCTTCCAAAAACAGACTCAATGTGGCTCATAAATGCAATTAAGATACAAATAAAAGAACTAAATATACAATAAAAAACAAACACAAAATAAACAAAAATTATTCAGACAACATTTAAAGAATCTATAAAAGCAAAAAAAATATAACCACTACCTTGGGGAAAGTCTGTCCTAGATGCACAATGTAAAAGCCTCCAAGAATACATTGACTGTTAAAAGTTTATTTTTTAAAAAAGTCTTTACCTGACACCAGAGGAATAGCAGGGATGGGGACAACATAACTCCCAAGGGAGAGCAGTCCACGACCTAAGAGCAGCCACACAGAAGGCTGTCTCTCCCAGTCCCAAAATACAGCCCTGTTAAGTCAATGGAACTGAGAAAAGAGCCTGAAGATCTTAGGAGCCTGAGAAGGCTTAAATGGGGAAATGTATTCCTTTAGAAGGCATGGACCTGATTTGTATACGGCTCTATAGGTCATAACTAGCACTTTGAATTGGGCCCAGAAATGGACTGGCAGCCAGTGAAGCTTCTGGTAACCAGCCTTAGTTAGCAGCTTAGTTGCAACATTTTGAATCAGCTGAAGCTTCCAAACCACCATCAAAGGCAGAGCTACACATAGAGCCTGTTACGGCAATTCAAGATGAATGTAAGTAAGACAAATGTTATCATAGCCAAATCAAACCTGTCAAGAAATGGGCATAGCTGGCACACTAGCTTTAACTGTGCAAATACACTCCTAGCTACTACTGAGTCCTCAGCATTCAGGCTCTGGAATGACTCCAGGAGCACAAGCAAACTGCAAGCCCTACTACTGAGTCCTCAGCATTCAGGCTCTAGAATGACTCCAAGAGCACAAGCAAACTGCAAGCCCAAGTTTTATTTGTTTGTTTGTTTATGTTTATGTTTATGTTTATGTTTATGTTTATGTTTATGTTTATGTTTATGTTTATGTTTATGTTTATGTTTATGTTTATATTTATATTTATATTTATTTATTAGATTTCTACTCCGCCCCCCTAGACAGCGTCTACTCAGGGTGGCTTACAGATATCATAAAGTATCATAAAAACTTCATACAGGTATAACTCCATGTTATTATTGTTGTTACTCTTATTCTGTTGAGTTTAGTGAGTCTTAAGCTTCTGGAAAAAGGTTTCAAACAATGATGAAGAAATTATAATGTCTTTTCCAACACATATTGATTTCCTAAAACCCAATCTGCCTTCTGATCGACCAGGAACACTTATGTCATATCTGGATTAAATTTCATTCTCTTTGCCCTCATCCAGTCTATTACCAATGATAGGCACTGATTTAGTACAGGATCATCTTCCATAGAGTCAGGGGAAAGGAGAGGTAGAGGTTTTCTTCAAAGATACAGATTGAATATTTTATTATAATTGAACATGTTACAGTTTAACTGTCTTTAAGGACCCATCCTATATGGCACCACCTCCCAATGCAGGAGGTAGCCTTTAATAGTCAAAAGTCAACTCCAAAGGCTTCCACAGAGCAAAAGAGAGCCCTATGGTGCCTCAGAATCTGAAACATGGGAGGGGTACAAAGCTTTCAGTTCTTCTACTAGCACTGAATGACTTTGTTATCCTGCTTGTGGAGCATAACTCTACACAAGAGGATTTTGCCCATTATCTTCTTCTCACAAAATTTTAATCATAACCAACACAAACTTAGTTTCATAATATTTATGTACAAGAATGCAAGTCATGCTTTGATCATCCATCACATGCTAAATATAGCCCTTTTCTTAGCTAAGCAATGTGCTAAACATTTTCTTCAGACAGAAAATCTCTAACAAGTGTGTTTCTCTGTTCTTAAGCACTTCAGCAAACCAGATGTTTAGTTAATTAACGCAGCCCTTCTAGTTTAGAAGAATTTACTGCAAAAAGCCCCATAAAACATGGCTCACAAGCTATTTAAATTCAAAGTGTTCAAAGTCTTAAAGGATTTTTTAAAAGTCTGCTCTTGAATGTTTAGCAACTGAGTATTATTCTGTACCAAAGGATACCTTAGGGTACATTCAAATGTAATTACTAGCAGGACCATGAATGTGGTGTGCTTCTATTGCTATATTTCTGAGACATAAACTGCCTCATATCAGGTCAGACACTTTTATTTTGACCAATATTTGTAGAATCATAGAATAGTGAAGTTAGAAGGGGCCTATAAGGCCATCAAGTTCAACCCCCTGCTCAATAAAGGAATACAAATCAAAGGATATCTGCCAGGTGGTTGTCTAAGTTTCTCTTGAATACCTCCAGCACCTCTCAAGATAATTGGTTCCACTGTCTTACTGCTCTAACAGTTAGGAAATTTTTCCTGACTTTTAATCAGAATTTGGCTTCCTGTAACTTGAGTCCATTGTTTCATGCTCAGCACTTTCAAATAATCGAGAACAGACCCTGCCTCTCCTCTGTATGACAGCCTTTCAAGTAGTATGTGAAAAGTGTTATCATATCACCCCTCTATCTTCTTTACTCAAGCGGTGGATTCTATCACTCCATGCTCATGCCCAATTCTTTCAGTCTTTCTTCATAGGGGTTGGTTTCCAGCCCCCAAATCATCCTTGTTGCCCTCCTCTGAACTTGTTCCAATTTGTCAACACCCTTCTTGAAGTGTGGTGTCCAGAACTGGACACAATACTCAAGGCGAGGCCTAACCAGTGCTGAATAGAGGAGAACTAGCACCTCATGGGATTTGGAAACTATACTTCTGTAAATGCAGCCGAACATAGCATTTGCCTTTTTTGTAGCCATATCACACTGTCAGCTCATATTCAGCTTGTGATCTATGACAAGTCCAAAATCCTTCTCACTTGTAGTACTCCTGAGCCAGGTATCCCCCATCTTGTAACTGTGCATTTTGAATTTTGTTTCTGTCTTCTAGGGTATTAGCTATTCCACACAATTTGGTGTCACCCACAGATTTAACAAGCATTCCTTGCACTCCCTCATCCAAGTCATTAATGAAAATGTTGAAGAGCACCGGACCCAGGACTGAGCCTTGGGGTACCCCTCTTTTTACCTCCTCCCAGTTGGAGAAGGAGCCATTAAACATCACCCTCCGAGTACGATTCTGTAGCCAGCTGTGTGTCCAGCTGACACTTGATCTATTCAGCTCACACCAGTTAGCCTGCCAATCAGAATGTCATGGGGCACTTCGTCAAAAGCTTTGCTTAAGTCAAGATATACTATGTCTGCAGCATTCCTTCTGTCTATTAGGAAGTTTAACTGATCAAAAAAGAGATCAGATTAGTCCGGCAAGATTTGTTCTTGACAAATCCATGTTGGCTTCTAGTTATTACTGCACTGTTTTCTAGGAGCTTGCATAGTGACCATTTTATATTTTGCTCCAGGTTTTCCCCTGGGATTGATGTCAGGCTGACTGGCTGACTGGCTTGCAGTTCCCACTTCTCTCTCTCTCTCTCTCTCTGTCTCTCTCTCTCTCTCTTGGCCTTTTCAAAGATAGGTGCAACATTAGCCTTCTTCCAATCATCTGGCACCTCACCCATTTCCCATGATTTCAAGAAAATAATGGACAGCGGTTCTCAGAGTTCTTCAGCCAATTCTCTCCTATCTTATATTATTCCAGTTTGGTGACACCCCATTGACATCAACAGAAGAAGACAATTCACATGTAGACTATGCTCATCTGTTTTATGCCCTATTCAGCTATTATTAATCAAGTACATTTACCACAGGCATAGGGAAGGACTCTAGCTCTGCACACCTCTGCCACCATAGAAACATGGCAGTCTCCTGTTCAAATTCATCATCCTACATATGTAGGACAAAGATGAAACCAGAAACAGAGAAGCAATCCAAGAGCAATACATTTGATGCAATAATGCCAGAATAAAGATAATGGAGACACTTCTTCAAACCAATTATAATTAGAACCATTTTCAATCTTCAGTCTTTAAATCCATTTATTTTCAACTTCATTCTATTTCACTTCAGATGTTTATGATATTACAGAAGCAGATTCAATAGCCACAAGAAAACACAGGCCAGTAGGTAAGAGATAGACTTATGTTTGCAGCTGGTTTTGTCCTTTTCATGTGCTTTGGAGGCTTTTAGAACAAATATACTGTTTATAAGTCAAATTTCCTGTTCTGAGCTTTGCACATTGATCAAATTTACATGACCATGGAAAATTACAAAAGAATTTCCACACAACAACTGAATTCGCAAAGTTATTAGTACACCATCAAAAACTACTACCTAGAAGATCCTGGAAAGAGTAGCCATAAGTCAAAACCAACTTGATATCATAATTATTAATTGTTATTTTTAAAAAGCATAGACAGCCAGATAACTTAGTAGGTTGGAGTACATGGAAACAGAGCCAGAAATCAGAAGTTTGATTCCCTATTATGCCTCCTGGAAGAAAATCTGGCCCATGTGCAGCTTTGGGACGTGCTGCATCACCACCAGAAGGACACCGTGATAAACCTCTTCCAGGTATTTTATATCTGTAAAACCCTGGGTTTGCCAAACTGGCCTTATGACACATAATTATTAATTAATTATTAGTAAACATAGACTGACTTGTCAGGTACAGAACTACCCACTGATATAGTTATAAACACCTATGTATGTCAAAGCCATTATTAAGTGTATATTTCTTCATCATTTCAAATGAAGAGATAAGCAAATAAATATGAATATGATATTTCATTACTTTTATTTTTGTTATTTCTTGAAAGCAACATTCCCTCTAAGCTGCATGGGTGCACAGCGCTGTATTGGTGCCCACACCCCCAGTCAGTGTTGCCACTCATTTGATTCCAATCATGCCAGGAACTTCGAACATACAGGGCAGGGCTGGGGGAAAATTAGAGGAAATGTTGGTTGGAAGCGTTAGTGTTTTAAATTATGTGATTCTGCAGGATAAAGGCTATATTATATCCAGAATATACAGCTGATACCAAAAACAGCAACATGTAGAACATCTTAGTGTGTAACAATGATGCAACCTTCTTTTCCCTCATCCTCCTCATCCTGGCTGCTGTCTTCAGGAAAATGGAAACTTTAAATACACATCATATAACTCTTTTTGTCCAACAAAAGCTTAATAAGATGAATGAGAAACAGGTATTTGGGGGGCGGGCAGGTACTAATCATATTGTCTAACTAAAAGACTCACACTAGAAGGGGAAGGATAGGTGGACCTCCATGAAATCAGCACCCCTTCCATCTGATCTCCACACACACACACCATGTTTTCGCCATATTGTGCTCCCTCATGAACCAAAGTAAAAGATGTGGTAACTGCTTGTAGGGTTCTATTCTATGCAAGGGAAGTCAATGATCTGAGAGGCAATGAATGGGGTAACATGCACACATACACACACAACTTAGACCACAAGCTGTCAGTATTTCAAGTTAAATAGTATTGGGAAAGAAAGCCTCCACCATTAGTTTAGAGCAGAAGATATTTCTTTTGTCATTTATGAATTCATCAAGTTCATAAATATAGTATTATTCTTAACATCAAGACGAGGACAAAGTATTCTATTTCAATGACAAATTATGGATTGTTCCCAATATGCCACATAATGTGCTATGCTAAATACAAACAGTATACCATGTACAGACTTCTAAATGTCTCCCACACCTGATAAAATGACAAATTTTATGACACTACCTCCCATCCTTCAATGTGAGATTGCCATTCTTCTAAAACTTCTAATTTTTCCATCTGTCTCTTGGCCTCATTTATGTTGGAGCAGACAGCTTTCATGGTTTGGAGAGCTTCCATTAAGGCAGAGTAGTCGCTATGTTTCTTGGGAGTGCGTTTTAACAACTCCTGTTTAAAAAATAAAGAAAAATCAATTCCTGCACTCTCAGAATAATTAAAATCAATTCTTTCACTTTCTCTGTTCATTATTGGAAACTGAGGTTGAGATTCCATGCATGCTTAATTGGAAACAATTTCTACTGAATTCAGTGGAACTTACTATCAAGTAGCACACATAGGAAAGGGCTTCGTAACTGACCAGAATATTAAAACTAAATAGTTAGCATCAGTATCCTGTTTCATTAAATATATGCTTAATCCTCCCAGTCAAATAATTGAAACTTAAAAGGCTAGGTCATGACACACTCTTGTTTGCATTTTAATGTCTTTCAAGACTACCAATTACTATGCAGTTCCTACGGCTATCCACTCAAGTTTTCCCCTATGAAGTCCAATCCAAAATGCTAGAATAATTCTGAGGCTGCCTACATGCTGGCCTGTCTTTATTTCTGTGCTCAACTGGTAAACCTTTAAAAATTATAGCTGCATGAGAGTGCATCTATATTATTGTGTAGCAGAGCAAGTCAACATTCTACAGGGCAATTCTAAAGATGGGGGCAGCCCAAACCAAAAAAAAAATTATATAACTCTAAAACAGGGATTCAGATCAGAACCAAATTGGGCACAGTTGTAGCAGATAGTCTGTTCTTGCTCTGTGCCAGATTTGGGGATCTGTTTTACCAAAAAGGGTTTTTGAGTTATTATTTTTTTAAAAGTAAAACTGTTTTACATTCCCATTCAGAAGTAGGCAAACCTAAATGACCCTAGACTAAGACTAGATCACATAAATAGAAAACACCAATCTTGCTTATCTTGAAAGAAAATTTTTGGTCTCACCTAGTTTTTTTATTGGAGCTGAAATACTGAACATAAAAATGCATTTCAAATGGGAAAAGCAGCAACTTTGGTACACAATTAGGCATGTGTGGTATAGGCTTGCCAAGAAGAGATTTGTGAAATGATATATTGTAAACATTTTGGAGGGAGATACAATAGGATCCCCATATTCATGTGATTGGTATCCGCTCTTTCACTTATCTATAGTTTGCCGCAACCCTTTATACAACATACAAGAGGGGTCCCTTATGGCCTTTGTTCCACCCCCATGAGGCTTTTGTCCCACCGCCTTGTATGTTATATATAGGGTTCCCTTGCATCCATTGTTCCAGACATCTACAGTGGATCTTGTAAACAATCCCCCATGGATATGAGGGTCCTACTGCATTTAGACACCTGCAAAACAACTAAAGTATCTCCCAATACAGATGGTTGAGTGTACTGTGCACCAGATTGCATGGGGCAGAAGCACTCCAAATTCATGTAAATTCCTTGGGAATTAACATCCAATGCAATCCAGCATCGCAGACATTTATTGGAATGCACACAGGTCATCTGAGAAACATATTGCTTCTAGATATTTTGTTTACTTTGTGGCTCCAAGCAATAGATACCTAGAGACCTTATTGAATAATTGAATATTACTCTCATTTGTCAATCACAATTTAGCAAAGAACAGCCAAAATCCCCTTCCATAAATTATGCCTACTTAAATGAGATGATAGGCAGAGGAAGATTTTTGATAATTAAGGAGTTCCTTCTCACTCAAGTCACACATCATCAGTCTCATTACATGTGAGGTGTGGGAGGAAAAAGGAACTCTTTAATTATAGAAAATCACTACCTGCTGCTAATCCCCAGCATAGGACATCATCACCTTTATGTAGATGTAATTTAGGGAGCATGATGTTTGTCTTTATATTTTCAAAATAAAATATTCTAAGCCACACAAAAAATACATACCTTTAAAAGAAGGGGATATTTGCATATTCTCTGGATTGGTGTTACTAAATAACCTTCTAGCGGTACATCAGTATTATTGCGTCCTCCTAGCAGCATGCAGTTCTGTAAGAATTAAAACATTATTAATTTATCTGAAATTACCTTTTTCCATTGTTTAATCCATGTCACACTCCTCAGTGTAGCTCAGCATCTCAATTCTTAAAGACTACTAATGGACTACAATCAGCTTTTCCTATGACAACCCCAGGAAGACAGTTTAAAAGTTCCACCTGACCATAAATCTCTTGTTTATCTTTTAATAGGGCATGTTGACACTACACCACACTGATTGCATAAACATGTAAGAAGGTTCATGCTGTCTGCTATTACTTTTGTAGCCCCAAACAGCTTGGCCCCTGTGCACCCCTTTACAGTGGGGTCTCTACTTAAGAACTTAATCCGTATTGGAAGATGGTTCTCAAGTTGAAAAGTTCTTATGTTGAATCTGCATTTCCCATAGGAATGCATTGAAAACCATTTAATCCGTATCTGCTCTTTTCCGTCCATAGAAACTACAGTGGAACCTCTACTTAAGAACTTAATCCGTTTTGGAATGGTGTTCTTAAGTTGAAACGTTCTTAAGTTGAAGCAAAATTTCCCATAGGAATGGACTGAAAACCAATTAATCCGTTCTGGCTGTTTTTTTGTTATGTAGAGGTGCATTCGTACATTGAAGCATTAGTTCCCATAGGAACTAATGCAAAGCTGGTTAATACGTACTCTACCACTAGGGGGAGAATTTTTTTAAACCTAAGATGACCTAAGGTTAAAAAAAGAGCAGGAAAGGTTTTTTTCCTGTTCTTATCTTGGATTTCTGTTCTCAAGTAGAAGCAAAATTTAGCAAATGGAGCTGTTCTTAAATTGGATTGTTCTTAAGTAGAGACGTTCTTAAGTAGAGACCCCACTGTACAGCTCCCTGTCTAATGAAAATCAACATGAGAACATTGATCTCAAAGTCATTGTATTTAAAGAAGTACTCTCTTTTTTTGTCAGTTCAGTATGTTTTATTTGGAAGTGACTGAACTGCCGATTTAGTGAGTTGTATGTTGTTTGGCACACACAAAATTGTATTAGATATTCTCTTCTTAAGACTGCTCTTTTTTTGAGATAAACCCATCCAAAATTTTAGACTGCAAGTTTTGCAATAAATTTACTAAGAGATTTGTCACCTCATGTTGCCCATTTCGGTTTGAAACTTTTCAGTGCTGATTCTCCAGGTTTCTAGAGAGTCAAAATTCTAAAGGTACAGTCTAATTATGTGGTCTAAGAGAGATAACCACTGCTACCAATCTGGTGAATACTAAAAATTGAATTGAAAAAAATCCTGATTTATTCTGGATTCTATTTCCTATAAAATAGGGGGAAATGAAATCTTAAACCAGGATTGTGCTGCAGTTTGTCTTAAATTAGACTTTATTTTTAAGGCACTTTATACTATGCTGTAAAATCATCACAAAATGGCAATGATCACGTGATGGAGACACATTCTTTGAAAGTTGTCTTTGATATTCATCTAATTTACAGAACTGGATTGTTGTAGTTAGAGCACTTTCCTTCCATAGAATGCCATAGTATTTTAAGGCTTTGAAGTTTAGAAGAAGAAATAAACTCCTGGAGGGGTAAGGGACATGAAAGTAGTTTATAAAATTAAGTATGAGGCAAAGAAAGTAGATAGAGGGACCTTTTTTCTCCTTGTTTCATAATACCAACACCAGAGGCTATTCAATCAAATGGACTGGAAGCAGATTCAGAACAGATGAGAGAGCATGCTATGCAAGACATAATTTATGAAATTCAGTGCCACAAGATGTGGTGATGAGACACTAGCTCAGTTGGCAAAGTCATGAACAAAAGCTTTATCTATAGACATCAGTCATAGAGGCTAGGAAGAGGCATTATGCCAATAATTGTATTTACATCTGCAAAGGAGGTATTATGCAACTTCAGAGGCATTGTGCAAATGAATGCCAATTGCTGGGAAATTAGGTCTGCAAGAAAAGGCAGTGGTGAACCTCCTACCTGTTAGATTTGCACAACTACAATTCTCATGTCTGACCACTGGCCATGGTGCCTGCCTGAGGCTGATAGGAGCTGGTGCCAAGCAATATTTGGAGGACCATAAGTTTACTGCCTTCTCGGTGACATCTGGTTACTTCCTATGGAAAGCAGGATGCTGGACAAAAAGGCCTTTTAGTCTGATCCAGCACAACTGCTCTTTAGTTCTTCTTGTCTTTAACATGTGCACTTATAAAACAGTGTTATCAAACTGTCTTCCAATTACTTCTCTACTAAGAAGTAAGAATCATGGTTGAGTTAGACACACACTCAGGTTAGTGGATACAGGACTGAAGTTCTGGAAATAGAATACAAATAATACTAGCTTACCAGTAGAAAAGTTCGTACTGTTCTTATTTTGTTAAGTTCCAGCAAAAGCTTCTGTGCTTTCTCATGGTTACTGCAATATTCATCATAAATATGAAATCTGTCCTTCTGGGAGGGTAAAAGGTTTTGATTAGTCATTTTGTTAATAAGTGTTATTCATTCAATTTAAATTTTGTTAGATTAAAAAAGGAATACAAGAGTGCAATTTTGAAAAGATATGATTATAGCAATCATGTTCAATTTTACAGATAGCATTTTATCTTCTATCAGATATATCTAAAACAAAAACTGAAGCCAAACAGGAAAGCGCACATTCTCCTATGAATTTCCATGGTAAATAGGTTCTAATATAACTGAAAGAAATGAAATTTATTCAGGAAAAAGTGGCTCAATCCAGGAAAGACTGCTAAAGGGTATCCTTATGACAAATCACAGTGAATCCTATATATTCTACAGAAATGGACACTGAAGCAGCAACATCTTCCTTTTAGCGGTGATTCCATTTTCCAAGTGTCCTAAAAAGACCCTATATTATGCAATCAAGTATGTTTTTGTCCTCAGAGTGGGATGTCCATGAATTACAATGTCAGCAATTTTTTTACAGTAGCAGAACAGATCAGTTAAATATGAAGCTGAAACTATCAAAGTTTACATACAAAACGAAGAAAGCAGGTTCCCACTTCATGTTGAGCACTAGGTTCAGGATGCAGACATTCTTCAATCCTAGAAAGGAAATTCTTGTGCAATTCAAGAATATCTTCAATATTTGAGAACAATGTCTGTGAAGAAGAAAATGAGTGTATAAATATATATCGGCAAACAATGCTTTAAAAAAAAGAGTGAGAACAATTACTAACTAACCTTAACTGTTTCCTCCGTAATGTTTTTATCAACTTTAGAAACAGCCCATTGCATTATTCTGTGAAGAAATGCCTTGAGAAAGAAAAAAAGCAATAGTCAGGGCACTGAAGAAGCACAGGGCATACAAATGAAAAAGTGTTGAATTAATATAGTACAGTAGTTTCATATGCACTGTTGTACAAGAGGCTTACCGCAATAGATTCACAAAGTGAATTATCATTACAGTAGTGTTAAGATCAAAATTGAAAAATGCAAGTCTATATATCAAATTAGGTATAAATGTATATGAATGAGGTGCAAATACTTTTAATATGAATATGAATATGAATAAATATTTAATTATCCAGAAAAATGGTAATAGTTAAAAGTCATTTCAGAGATGTGTTTCTTGCTACATCATAATGCTCCATTTTGTGTAGGTGAAGGGAACAAGCATGAATGCAAAATGTAGCATGTAACATGGCTCTCAGGTCAGTGCACACTCTTTAAAATAAAAAGTAAATAAAACTTCTGTGCAAAATGACACGGAAGATTATGAAAGACATCATCGAATTCTTTGATCCCCATGCAGTCATTTAGTGCCAAGACTTGATAGTCTGTTACAAGTGCTCAGTACTAATAACCAAGTGAAAGACACTTTTCTAAGCAATCATATGGGAGGGGGGAATTAATTGATGTCGTCATCATCAAGTTCCCTGAAGAACCACTTGTTCTCAAAGGCATGCAAAGGTCCCAAAGGAATTCTTCCCAGCGAGTTCTCTCCCAATCTGATGAACAATGCACACAGAGGCATGTTCATCAAGACATTGGCATGGGAGTAAAGAATGAAATCCTCAGAGGCTACATTTGTGATCACACATACACAACCAACAGCTACTATTTTAGCTTTCAAACCTAAATAGTTAAAATGCATTCACACATTTAATGTATAAGTCAGTTTTTGCATTAGGACTAATAATCATTTTGAAGAAAAACAAAGCAAGAATTAGGCACAATTTCAGTACTTCCAAACATATAATTAATTAAATACAATAAACATAACAGGATAAACTATAAGTTAGAGAGAAGCTCTACATCCTTTTGAGGATACTAATTAGTCCAGAAAATTACAAATGGTGCCATGGAATATGGTTCCAGTATGGGCCACCAACATGTAAAGATGGTGATTTAAGCTGTATAAATATTACCTTTTCACATGACATTGCATCATAAAGCCAGGAACAATGAGAGCTACATGGAGCATAATAAACTCTACTTATATTTGAAAATATGTAATATTATCTATTATATGAAAAATAGTTGGTGGCTAAATTTACAATGAACATCAAATGTTGGTGTTCTTTCTCCAATTAATGTATTCAAAGCCCAAATGTTCTTTTCCCAACAATGAGAACATGGACTCTCTTCACTTACTCATTTCAGGCAGTGGACACTCCATCTCCAAAACAGACGTTTATTTGCTAATTCTTTTTTTCAATGAAACTCTTAAGTTGTGTTTTTCCAAGTTTCCAGGTGGTTCCTGGATGTATGTATGGTGTAATTTGCAGGAGGGCCCTATTGAAGTGCTACAGACCAACAGAGAAGTCCCAGAAATTTCAACATTGGTACTCATGTGCACTCATGGAGGGGTACTTTCCAATCTTCCTCTCATGCAAGCTCCCCAACTCTCACTGAAGAACCCTCCTGGAAGATCAGGCAACCCCTGCCCCAAGACACAAAATAACACTGAGGGCAGATGAGAGGTAAACTGAGAAAAATCTGGCAGAGGCTCCATGTGGAAGGGTAGGTTTTATATATTATTGGAACAACAACGTTATCATACTTCAGCTTTCTTTTATGATAATAACTTTCTTACTACTTCTTGCATAGTTTTAATTGTTAATAAATGTATACAAAAGACTGCTGGAAAATTCATTGCAGCTACTGGTTCATTTTCTGCTAATCCAAGTTTGTTTATACATTTTTAAAGTCATTGTGTGCAATCCTGTTGCACAGCTCTGGATGCACAATAATGATAATGTCATAAACAGAAATAAGTCACTGCTGATTAAAAGCTTCATTTGACAATTTTAGGGTATACATGAGTTTAGGTTTTCCTTGCACTGTATGCAAGTCACATGCACCCAAAATTGCCTTTAATCAGCAAGGATTTGTGCAATAGGACTTGAGCCACTGTTTACTGTACATTACAAAGATATTCAATTTTAGTTCAATAAATTTCTAATAATTTTACCTGCACAAATGCTGCTTAAGGTACAAATATATTTTAAGTGTTCATTCATTTCAGCATTAATTCTTTTGTTCTATTAATTTATAAGTAACTACAAACTTATATGTTAAATAATTATTTATTTACTTAACAAAATATTTCTGACTTTAAAATACATAGATATTCAAAAACTTAGCAATAAATGTATAGACGGTCCTGCTGGTTGTGAGGAAATGAAAGGAAATTCACTTATTCTGGTCCCACCTTAAATTATAAGAGCTCTTCCTCACAGTTATAAATCCCTGTTAGAGCATACTCACATCAACACAATATCTTCTGTTTCCAGATAATTTCAATACTGGAAGGTTAACAAAAGACAAAATAGCATACTATTGAACTGAATAAGCAATGCAATATATATTTCCTTTGAAAAATATACTTTTCCTTATATGAGCTGCAGTCCAGTAGTACATTTCAACTAGAGCAGATCACCGAATCAGTGGGGATCTGATGAATTAACTTTTCTATAAATTCAACTGATTCAGTGGCCCTACTCTAATTGTGACTTACTATTGGATTTCAACCATTCTAGGTAAAATATTACCTACACAGATATGGAGAATATCAAGTTTTTACCTGAAAGTTGGGGGGATACTTATTTAGATGCAGCAAATCCTATACCCCAACTGTTGGTAAATATAAATTTCAACCCTGTTAATAGAAATATTGCAGAGTTTTCAGAAAATACAGGGATTGGGTTGTCTGCACATGCACAATACACTTAGCCAGAATTGCTTAAAATGTTGGCTGCTGGGAAATGAGTAGTATGCTGGGGCTTTACTCTTCCCTCAAAAGGAAAGCTTAAAAAACCAGCAACTTCCCAAGGCAGAAAAACAAATGTTACATCATAACACAGACTTTTAGCTTGTATCTCTTCAAAGAAGCAAGGGTGTGAAGTTAGGATATGATGCTGACATACAAATCCATGCTTGTTAGAAGAATGAACTGCCAGGATCTGTATTTAGATACAATGCTAAAGTTTTTCTGCCCTAATATTGTTCCGTCTCCTTCAGCCTCCTCTTTCTTAATAGAAGGAACCAGTTGGAACAACTGAATGGAAGAATATTACCCTGACCATTACTAATAAACCACCATTCTCATCAATTCTGGGTTAAGAGTTTTGTGTCAACACACGTTGTTTCATATACACATGAATTAGAATTTTAAATTTCATAATCCAAATAGGAAGGATCTCAGTTTTAAATCTACATTAAGCCATTCTTGAACATCACTTTAACTCTGGCATAACAAAGCCTTATCGTTCAAGATGAAAACATGATATACTGATAGCCATTACTTTTCAACAACTATATTGCATCTAACTCAGAAAATCATTCGTATTTTGCTTAAAATAAGTGAAGCCATTTTGACAGGTTTTTTCCCCTGCTGAAAACAAACTACTGTATTATTTTCTCCCTCTATCTGAGAATCCTAAATATTATAACTGTGGCTTAGGGACAGGTACAGATTGTTCTCAAAGAACAGAATCAATAGGCTTTCGACTTGGTTCTATATTTCATATTCACTAAGACTTCAAGTTTTTTTTTTCCTTTTTACACTTTCTTCATTTTTTACAAAGCTTTGGAAATACTGAATAGTCTCATTTTTAAATTAATTTTCTCAACTAGGGATGCTTTAAATGAAAATCTGAAGAATAAATTGAGGAGGCTATTCATATACTCCCATTACAAGCAGAAAACATGTTGTGTTCCTTGATGTATTTCAATATCACATATGTGTTACTAATCTATCAAGCAGTATAATATTTAGTGTTGTTGTTGTTTAGTCTTTAAGTCGTGTCCGACTCTTCGTGACCCCATGGACCAGAGCACGCCAGGCCCTCCTGTCTTCCGCTGCCTTCCGGATTCTCTATTTGTGTGATAGCTTTGAAGGATGGTTGATTCAAAGGATACACATATGATATTATTTGGAATGGATCAGCATGCTTCCCTTCACAACAAAATGTATGTTTTCTATGTCTATTAACAGAGACAGCAACAGAGATAGAGGTCAATCATGCTGCTGTCTGATACTGTACAAAAAGGCTTTTCTTTCAGTAGTTCAGCAGCTGGACAGCCACCTGTTTTCCCTTCTTGGCTTCAGGGCCGAAGTCCGTAACAAAACTACAAAATCCACCATTCACATGCAGTAATATTGTAAGCACCTAAGATCAACTTTTGAAAATACTAATGTTCAAGTAAATAATTCAAAAAATCCTACACATGTACATAATATTTATGGGTATAATATTCACATAAAAATGCTCTTTGACGCAGACTAAATTCCAGATCTTTGATCCAAGCATACCTTTGGATTGTCCTCTCATTCCCACATACTGTACCCACAATGATGAATCATAAGCACCATTGCATTTCTACTCCTTAATTATCAGGCAAATAGGCTCTACTACGTCAAAGTAATGCTATATATGAATGAAACAGGTATAAGTCCCATGATTCAAAGAATTATTCCAAAATGTGTGATTTCAAAAACAAACGTACTTCTTATTTTGTTGGTTATGTTTTGAAATCCATCCCAGGTTTCTAAAAATTAACCAGACTGTCCTAAGCATCTCTTGTCGTGTTCTTTGTTACATTTCTTACATCTCTAGCTTTATGTCTATTTATTATTTTTTTATTAACTCTTCTATCTGTATGCTTTTAACTTTTCTATGCCAATAAAGATTACTTTGGAAAAAAAAATTTAGTTAGATTCTATCTCCAACAAGAAAAAATAGTAGGTACAAGCTAAATAAATAAATGGAAACGGTTGTCTGTAATTTAATAGCTCCATTAAAGTATTA